CCTCTGCTCTCCACACATGGAAAATCAGTAGCTGGCGCTTTTAGCACCAGGTAGGGGATATATGAACAGAGTAATGTCATGTCATTCTGTTCCAAGGTTGGCACGTGGACGTCACTAACAAGATTTGCAATGCTTGCTGATGTGTCCTAAGCAGGGCAAATCAAAGTGGAGACCAGACAGAGCAGGGGAGAACAGAAAAGTGAGTAAATCTATATATTGAGTGAGTAAATCTATGTATCTTTGTGATATATGATGTATTCAATGTATATGGGAGCGATTTAAGGTAAGATAAAACAATTTTTATTAAAGTTTTACTTTAAATTTGATATTCACCCTGAACTCACTTTAAAGCCCTTACAGTTCTCACTTTAATATTGCCTGTATTAAATGCCCCTGCAGTTTTTTTCTGAAATTATTGCTGAAAATATGATCTTTAAAAAATCATTAGCAATATCTTTGATACTTGAGTACATTTGGTTTCATACTAATGGTAATTCACCCAAATTGACAAATTTTGGACAATTCATTCGAAATCCTTAAATTCCGAAAACCTATATGGACAAATCACAAAACAAAGTGGACAATGGACAAAAAAATTCAATTTGTTTGTGATTCAGAGTTCTGTCCATGGCGCAAAAATAAAAAACCGAATGATAAAATAAAAAGATGATTCATATTTAGGGGACAGCAACTAAATGTGATTTTTATTCACAGATCAAGTGAGTGAGTGTCCAAAAGAGGGACAAAAGTAGGAGCAGTAAAAATAAATATATAACATAAATACTATTTATTTTTCTGCTTGTTTTTTCCCCCCTATACTGGTTAATTCTACTAACTTAATATGTGAACCAAATGTTGAGAAAATGTGCCTATCATTGAACTGCAAATTTTAAACATAATATTTATATATTGCAGTATATAATGATTGGCCAGTTTTCACTCCATTTTGGTTGGACGAAATAGTTTTTCTCAAAACAATCGCATGTAATAAATTCTGAACTGAAAAATTACATTGATGAAACCAGAATTCTTTTCCAGGCGAATCGATTCGGCCAAACCAAATTTTCGCACCTTGCACAAGTATAGTATATATAGATAAAAATATATCTATAAACACTTACAGCATAGAACCAACTAGTTCATATATTTTGCACATTGTAAGGCTTGATTTGATTTATTTATTTTTCATGATAGCCCTCTTCAGCTCCTATACTGGTATGCACATGAATGCCATGCTGACGTACCATTTTTATGCGTCGTTGTGCCATTTTTAATCCTCAATGAGCCACTGATATGCCCCCTACAGCCCCATCTGCCGCCTATCCCTCATTCACGCAATGAGTTTTGGTACACGCACTGCCAAAACAGAGGTGGCACTCTTATCTGGGTGCAGGTAAAAAAATGACATTGGTGTGGATTATCTAGACCACGAAGTTGGTATAGATGTGATGATAAAGTAAAGGGGTCTCAGGAAGAATATGGTACTTATTTACATGGGAAATATTTGTGTTTTGGCTCTGTGCCTGCTTTGAACAGCACTGACTGCAAGGACTAGTTAAAAGCCAATTTAAGAAGTTCAATGTCCAATACTATTTTAATACCACAAACATTATTGGGGTTCTATAATTAAATATGTCATATGTGCATTTACTGGCATTCACTGTACTTGTGTAGGGCAGATGTTGCAGGGTTTGTCACAGAAATGAGCTGTCAGTTCCTGGAAGCATATGAAAAATCACATACAAGAGGAATAACGATAATGTGCCATTGGCTAAACATGTATTGGACAGCATTATGGCCTGTGAGCATCACTTACCCTGAAGACACCCTCTCCATGCTGGGGACAGACAGACGTTTGCCTGCAGATGTAACTTGGAGCATTAATTTACAGTCATCAGTATGTTATCACAGACTATGTATGTAGGTATAACTGCTTCGGTAGCTCTTCCCATGTAGATATAGGTAGGAATTCAGTGAGGGCATGACTGTGCAGTCATTTCTAGATTGTAAGCTCTTCGGAGCAGGGTCCTCATCAAAATATTGTTTCTGTAACAGTTTGTAATAGTCTCATCTATTGTTAAATTTCATCCGTTATAATATTGTAAAGCGCTGCGGAATGTTGGCGCTATATAAATGAAAAACACTCTGAGTGAAGTGGTCAGGGTGTCGTGCCCCTATCTTTTTAGCCGTGCAACTGAAAACATTGCCTGTTTTCAGGAAGACAGCCACTAGAGGCGTTTCTGCAGCTATACCTGAGTTAAACTTTGCTATAGCTCAAATGACTCTCCTAGAGAGCATTTGAGTGGCACAACCAGGCATTTTGCAACGCATGCACACTGGCCTCCCAATGCGTCACTACGGGAAGCTATGGACTGGCTAGGATCATCAGCCTTAGTGATTTATACCAGGGAGGAAGAGCTGCATCACAGAGAGCAGCAAGGTGTGGGATGTAAGGGAAGTAAAGCTTATCTTTGAACCCTCTGCAAGGAGGTATGAACACTGATAGGTAGGGGAAATCTATAGCGTTGGGAATACATGTCTGTATTCCTAATTATCTAGAGTTCATTTAATGATTGCTTCTCAATGACTCCAAGCATCACAGCCAGCTCTATGGATCATAAGGGAGCTGTTAAAATTATCTGCACCCAATATATGTGCAGTTAGCACTGCTCCCACACTGGGCACAAGGAATACAACTGCTGAAAGTGCACTCCACTGGACCACCAGGGGTAACAACCCCTACTGCCAAAAAGTAAGCAGGAGGGGGCATGAAAAAAATACACACTCAAACTCCTTCCTCACCACTCACACAATACTCAACCAGCACACACATATCCCCAATATGGCATCCTACCTAGGGTCCTGGGCAAATTTAACACAAGGGCCAGTGTGAGTGCACATGTAGTTAGTCTGTGTCTGTAAGAGGGGTGGTGTGAGTGCACATGTAGTTAGTCTGTAAGAGGGGTGGTGTGAGTGCACATGTAGTTAGTCTGTAAGAGGGGCAGTGTGAGTACACATGTAGTTAGTCTGTAAGAGGGGTAGTGTGAGTGCACATGTAGTTAGTCTGTAAGAGGGGTAGTGTGAGTGCACATGTAGTTAGTCTGTAAGAGGGGCAGTGTGAGTACACATGTAGTTAGTCTGTGTCTGTAAGAGGGGTGGTGTGAGTGCACATGTAGTTAGTCTGTAAGAGGGGTGGTGTGAGTGCACATGTAGTTAGTCTGTAAGAGGGGCAGTGTGAGTACACATGTAGTTAGTCAGTAAGAGGGGTAGTGTGAGTGCACATGTAGTTAGTCTGTAAGAGGGGCAGTGTGAGTACACATGTAGTTAGTCTGTAAGAGGGGTAGTGTGAGTGCACATGTAGTTAGTCTGTAAGAGGGGCAGTGTGAGTGCACATGTAGTTAGTCTGTAAGAGGGGTAGTGTGAGTGCACATGTAGTTAGTCTGTAAGAGGGGCAGTGTGAGTGCACATGTAGTTAGTCTGTAAGAGGGGTAGTGTGAGTGCACATGTAGTTAGTCTGTAAGAGGGGTGGTGTGAGTTCACATGTAGTTAGTCTGTAAGAGGGGTAGTGTGAGTGCACATGTAGTTAGTCTGTAAGAGGGGTAGTGTGAATGCACATGTAGTTAGTCTGTAAGAGGGGTAGTGTGAGTGCACATGTAGTTAGTCTGTAAGAGGGGCAGTGTGAGTGCACATGTAGTTAGTCTGTAAGAGGGGTAGTGTGAGTGCACATGTAGTTAGTCTGTAAGAGGGGTAGTGTGAGTGCACATGTAGTTAGTCTGTAAGAGAAGCAGTGTGAGTGCACATGTAGTTAGTCTGTAAGAAGGGCAGTGTGAGTGCACATGTAGTTAGTCTATAAGTGGGGTAGTGTGAGTGCACATGTATAGTTATCTTGAGTCCTGTGTTGTGTAAAGTGCATATTATGCAGTCAGACAGTGCACATTGTGAAGTTATCCTGTGTTGTGTGCAGTGCACATTGTATGGCCAGCCAGTCAGTCAGTGCACATTGTGTAGTCAGCCAGTCAGTGCACATTGTATAGTTAGCCATTCAATGCACATTGTGTAGTTCTCCTGTGTTGTGTAAAGTGCACATTGTATAGCCAGCCAGTCAGTGCACACTGTGTATCAGCCAGTCAGTGCACATTGTGTAGTCAGCCAGTCAGTGCACATTGTATAGTTAGCCAGTCAGTGCACATTGTGTATCAGCCAGTCAGTGCACATTGTATAGTTAGCCAGTCAGTGCACATTGTGTAGTTCTCCTGTGTTGTGTAAAGTGCACATTGTGTATCAGCCAGTCAGTGGACATTGTATAGCCAGCCAGTCAGTGCACATTGTGTATCAGCCAGTCAGTACACATTGTATAGTTAGCCAGTCAGTGCACATTGTATAGTTAGCCAGTCAGTGCACATTGTGTATCAGCCAGTCAGTGCACATTGTATAGTTAGCCAGTCAGTGCACATTGTGTAGTTCTCCTGTGTTGTGTAAAGTGCACATTGTGTATCAGCCAGTCAGTGCACATTGTATAGCCAGCCAGTCAGTGCACATTGTGTATCAGCCAGTCAGTACACATTGTATAGTCAGCCAGTCAGTGCACATTGTATAGTTAGCCAGTCAGTGCACATTGTATAGTTAGCCAGTCAGTGCACATTGTGTATCAGCCAGTCAGTGCACATTGTATAGTTAGCCAGTCAGTGCACACTGTGTAGCCAGCCAGCCAGTCAGTGCACATTGTGTATCAGCCAGTCAGTGCACATTGTGTAGTTAGCCATTCAATGCACATTGTGTAGTTCTCCTGTGTTGTGTAAAGTGCACATTGTATAGCCAGCCAGTCAGTGCACATTGTGTAGCCAGCCAGCCAGTCAGTGCACATTGTGTATCAGCCAGTCAGTGCACATTGTGTAGTTCTCCTGTGTTGTGTAAAGTTTAGAGGGCGGTCCCTGGGCGGTGCTCTCCCGGTGATGCTCCCAGTCTCGGCTCCCAGCCCTCATTCAGTGTTAGATTTGGAGTGGGGCTGTCGGGGTCTCTGAGGCTGGTACAGGGGCGGCGCAGGCGCATTGCGGAGTTAGACAAGTTCCCCGTGGGCTACGATCATGGCATCCTGGCTACCTGCTATCCTCTCTCTCTGCTTCCTATACTGCAGCCATGGGGCTGCCGGGGGACTCCGGAGGGGCTCTGCCGACTCGTGTGGAACTAAGGTGAGTGCCTGTAACTGTGTGTCTGGACTCCCCTCCCTGCACCCCAACTGTGTGTCTGAATGCCCCTTACTGCACCCCAACTGTGTGTCTGAATGCCCCTTACTGCACCCCAACTGTGTCTCTGAATGGCCCTTACTGCACCCCAACTGTGTGTCTGAATGCCCCTTACTGCACCCCAACTGTGTGTCTGAATGCCCCTTACTGAACCCCAACTGTGTGTCTGAATGCCCCTTACTGCACCCCAACTGTGTGTCTGAATGCCCCTTACTGCACCCAAACTGTGTGTCTGAATGCCCCTTACTGCACCCAAACTGTGTGTCTGAATGCCCCTTACTGCACCCCAACTGTGTGTCTGAATGCCCCTTACTGCACCCAAACTGTGTGTCTGAATGCCCCTTACTGCACCCCAACTGTGTGTCTGAATGCCCCTTACTGCACCCAAACTGTGTGTCTGAATGCCCCTTACTGCACCCCAACTGTGTGTCTGAATGCCCCTTACTGCACCCAAACTGTGTGTCTGAATGCCCCTTACTGCACCCCAACTGTGTGTCTGAATGCCCCTTACTGAACCCCAACTGTTTGTCCCGATGCTCCTTACTGCACCCCAACTGTGTATCTGAATGCCCCTTACTGCACCCCAACTGTGTGTCTGAATGCCCCTTACTGCACCCCAACTGTGTGTCTGAATGCCCCTTACTGCACCCCAACTGTGTGTCTGAATGCCCCTTACTGCACCCGAACTGTGTGTCTGAATGCCCCTTACTGCACCCCAACTGTGTGTCTGAATGCCCCTTACTGCACCCCAACTGTGTGTCTGAATGCCCCTTACTGCACCCAAACTGTGTGTCTGAATGCCCCTTACTGCACCCCAACTGTGTGTCTGAATGCCCCTTACTGCACCCCAACTGTGTGTCTGAATGCCCCTTACTGCACCCCAACTGTGTGTCTCAATGCCCCTTACTGCACCCCAACTGTGTGTCTGAATGCCCCTTACTGCACCCCAACTGTGTGTCTGAATGCCCCTTACTGCACCCCAACTGTGTGTCTGAATGCCCCTTACTGCACCCGAACTGTGTGTCTGAATGCCCCTTACTGCACCCCAACTGTGTGTCTGAATGCCCCTTACTGCACCCCAACTGTGTGTCTGAATGCCCCTTACTGCACCCCAACTGTGTGTCTGAATGCCCTTTACTGCACCCCAACTGTGTGTCTGAACTCTAAAACTGTTTCTGGACTCCCACTCCCTGCACCCCAACAGTGTCTGCACTCCCCAAACTGTGTGTCTGGATACCCCCTCTTACACCCCGATTGCGTGTCTGGATACCCCCTCCTTACACCTCTGATATGTGTGGAGATCCCCTCCCTGTACCCTATTTCTGTGTCTGACTGGCTGCTAAACATTGCTATTGTGTATTTTGTTATAATGCTTTATGTCCCACCGTGGGATGCTCTGTACAGACCTGATTTACTTCACCCACTTTATGTCTCTGTAGGTGGGTGTAAGCACCTTATTATGTGTGGTTAAAAAAAAAAAAATTATATATATATATATATATATATATATATATATATATATATATATATACCAAAAATATTGGCACTATTCCAACATGCAGTGGTACTATTTATGAATATTTTTTCTTTTCTGGTCAAAAACAATTGTATTTGCTTTTGACTTGAAGAATAGGGAAATCTAGAAAGCTTGTCTTATAATATGTACTGTTGGTGCAATATAAAATATCACTGTGTTCTGCAAAACTATCAGATTGTATGTACAAAATATACTGTGTGTGGTCGTATTTCCTCTCTACCTGTTGGATTGTGGTACCTGTGTAAAGAGTGGGGGCTGTAAATCAATTGCATTTCCCGTCCGTGGTGTGTTAGGGGCATGTCTTATAGCCAGGGTCTCAGGGAGTGTGAAAAAGTCACTTCAGGCACCCTTTTCATCACTCTAAACCTTTGATTTGCCAGTAGGAGATGCCTGTCAAGCAGATAATGGGGTCACACAGAGTGTGTGGTAATGAAAGGATAGGGCAAACCACTTGTGCTGAGAGCTGTGTAGAATGCTTCATTGGAAACATCCTTTGGATAAAATCAAACCTTTTTTACTTTCAATTAAATTTTTTGTTTTTTTTAAGATCACTTTTTTCTAATGTTGTAGATGTAGAATATACAATGCTTGGTCAGTCAGTATATGAATATGCATACTTCCTCCAGCTGAAAAGAGGGTCATTCTGTTCTATTTGGTGCTATAAATGTAATTCTAGGTAACCGCAGACAAATCACATGATTTTAAACTTCATATCCCTTAACCCACAGTTAATTTGGAGTTATAATTTAGAGGCAAACCACACAAATTGGTGTTGTATAATCCTGATAAATTCATACCCATGGCTTTAATGGCACATAGATTTATTTAATTATCAGTGAATTGTGGTGAACTGAGAAACAATTGCGCAAGTTATCTATCACTTGGGGGGGGATTGTAAATGGAGTTTTTCATTTTAGTTTATCATGGCCCAATCTGTATGATTTTTGGTTATCAGTTAATTAAGCTTAATTGTTTAGTCAATAAATCCTACCTGTAAAATACAAACATGCATGTACAGTAAGTATGTGTGTATGTGTGTGTATATGTATGTGTATATATATATATATATATAAAATCTCTTTTCTTTAGAACACCTCAAGTGAATGTTTGTCCCATCATACATTAGTCACCATTATTTTGTTCTCTATCTGTGTATGCAAATTTGTATTCAAAAGCCATTTTTGTTCATTTTTCTTCTTCTTGCTGTGGTAGTTGTGATAACCTGTATTTTTGATGTGCGTGCATCTAGCTGATGACTAAATGAGAGAGATTATTATCCAACAAAAACTCTCAACATGGAAGAACCTTTTTGTCTAAAGGTTCTTTGAAGTTGCAAATCCATCTTAAGTTACTTCCACTGCTACACAATCTCTCCTGCTCTATCTGTACAGCCCTATAGCTTTTTGAAGCGTGTCTGTATCATTACAGAAGTAATACTTTTCTTTACAGGCTCGCGTGATGCACGCAGCAAAGTTGTTTTATCTTTACATATTTGCGTGCTGTATCTCATTTCCAAAAACATTTCCGTGCCACTGGGGAATGTAGCAACATCTATTCTATTCTGGTGAAGAAAATAAATTAAATAAAAACCCCCACCTGACTTGTTTTAAATGTGGTAAACTTGTTTTTGCACTTCTTCGGATTGTATGTAAACTTTTGAATAGGCCTGCTAAGTCATTAGATGACTGATGGATGGGCGGCTGTAATATATTGTTTGCTCTAGGGTTGAGCCGCCTTTGAAGTGAGGCCCGTAGGAAACAGAGGAACTGTTTGCCCTATTAAAATTCCTTGACATTTCCTTCCCATAACCACAAGCCACTTCCCCCACTGCCACTCTGCTCACAGCGGGGACACCTAAACCATCAAAATGCAGCAAGACTATTAAAAGACTTGTACTGTTTTTATTTACAAAAATTAAAGAAAAAGTATTTTTATATATGTGTATATATTAAGACTTTAAATGAAACTTGGTTGTGGTTTTTGTTTTTTTTGTTTTTTGTTTCTTTTTTTTTTTTTCTTCTTCTTAAGTACATTTGCCTGGTTCTTAAATTCTACAAACCGGGCCTTACTGTACCAGCTGTTTGCAGGGATTCACAAATTGTGTTTAAGTCTCATTAAAGCTGCACCTGGAGAATCATGCAGTACATTTTTGTTGCTGAGTCTGCAGCTGCATCGAGATTGAAGTTATACAATTTTGTTTTTTTTAAAAAAATTAAATAAAAAAAAAAATCGTAGGAGAGGGAAAATGTATATTGGATGCGGGAGGTCAATGCAAGCCAAATTTTAATCTCCTTAATTTGATATGTTTTTATTTTTGTATATATCAGCTGCATATTGGTATGCCCTGAAGAAATTGTAGGATTATGGCAGAGGTCTGAGTTTAACAGCAGCTGCGCTAAGTTGGGCAGCCTCGTTCTACTACAGAGCCAAATTCACTGCATGGTCTGTATCAAGTTGTACAAAGCGGAGAGAGAGGTTTTTTTTTTCATTGTGCAGCAAATTTTGACATCTGGAAATAAACTTTGCATGGTAGGATTTTGCTAATAAAGTATAAGAGCACTTTTTTTTTAAGGTGTGGATCCCCTAACTTAACCCCAGTCCTATAAGTAAGATCTGTGATGCTGGAAAAAATAGCATACCGGTAGTTTATGTGTATTACTACATGGATAAGGTCGACCAAACGATCACCAGTTGTTGTGGAAATGCAACTTCTAGGATGTTTTGCCAGTCTCTTTTATTTTTATTTTTTTTCACTATTTCGTATTATATTTTACATCTCTGTTTTTGACGTATGCATCGTATTGTAAATACAATGCAAATTGCAGGTTTTACCTTCTATATTCTGCAAACAGCAGTTTAGATTGTGGTATACAGTTAGGTTCAAACAATTCTGTTTTCAGTTTACCATAATTTCCATTTTAGTAAATAATGTCTAATTTGGAATGTTTCTGTCGTTTGTTCCAAGTTTAGAATGCTGCTCCAGAATAGCTGTGCAATGCAGCCTCATTGCAGATAAAAGCCTCCTGGTTACTTTACTATGCCCATTGGTTCTGGTGGCTATAGTGTCCATTTAAACTGTTGAATATGATAGTGGGCATTGTACTTAAAATACCTTAGCATGGGCTGTGTGACATGTTCTCAGACACCCTGCCCCTCTAGACAATCTAGAAACCTATCTATTTTAAATGCACTATAATGCAAATGACTCTTCATCTTCCATATGTACTCATAGACAGACATCTAAGTCTTTTGTGCGGTATGTATGTTAAATCAGAACCCTTTTTGCATGCAAATCTGTATTTGTGTATGAGAGTGCTTAAATAGAAATGCTGAGATGCTTTAACATACAGCATTGTTAGTGTTAAAAAGAAACCTGCTTATTTATAATGTTAATTTCTCTTCTATGTAAATTTCTACACAGCTTCTTTACCTCTTTAGGAATATTATATGTATATGTTAACAGAGTGCAGGTTCACTGTGGGCTCCTATTGTATAGGCCTATCAGATGCAAAATGACTTTTCAGTCATTTCAGTGAACAAAGAACAGGATCTAAGGAAGGTGTGACCTTGTCCTACAGCCCAGGTAGAAAACATCAAACAGTTTACAGTATCTGAGGTCAGGAGATAAGTGGCTGTTAAATTTTTTAACAGTAGGTTACAGGTTGCAATCTACATGGTAGACTAGCATTCCAGTAGTATCTTTATAATACTAGGGGCCGCAACCTGTCTTTGACATGGATAATGTGATGTAAAGTATGTAAGTGGTTGACTGGGGGTGTGAGTTTAGAAGGGCCTGGGTTTACTACCAGTGAGAAATAGTCATTGTTCTGCTTATCACCTATTGGCTCAACTGAGTTTTAAAGGACCACTATAGGCACCCAGACCACTTCAGCTCAATGAGGTGGTCTGGGTGCCAGGTCCCCCTGGTTTTAACACTGAAGCTGAAAACATAGCAGTTTCAGAGATATTGCTATGTTTTCATTAAGGGTTAATCCAGCCTCTAGTGGCTGTCTCACTGACAGCCACTAGAGGCCGCTACCGCGATTCTCACTGTGAAAATCCCAGAGATGACGCTGACGTCCATAGGAGAGCTTTGAGTAATGTTTCCTATGGGTGGTTCGAAGGCGCGTGGCATGCGCATTTGGCGCTGACATTGGCAGGGGAAGGAGAGGTCACCAGCGCAGAGGGAGCCCGGCGCTGCATTAAGGTAAGTGGCTGAAGGGGTTTTAACTCCTTCAGCCCAGTGGAAGGGGGGCCACGAGGGTGGGGGGAACTAATAACCCTATAGTGCCAGGAAAACGAGTTTGTTTTCCTGGCACTTTAGTGTTCCTTTAATTTAGAAACGTGACTTGTCCAGTGTTATAGCTATAGAATATAATAGATATGATATAATGGTGTTGTATATGAAGTGTAAACTAAATAAGTTAACTGATGCAAATATCTTGTTTTTCTTCAACGATGCAATTATTTACATTAAACTATATAGTAAATATTTATAAATAATTTTAGGGCAGTTTGTAATAAGTCATACACATTTGTGTAAAACATTCCATTAAAAACCACTTTTAGATCTTTTAAATCAATAGGATAGTAGGTGAAATTTCACAAAGTGGCTTTAACCCCTTAAGGACACATGACATGTGTGACATGTCATGATTCCCTTTTATTCCAAACGTTAGGTCCTTAAGGGGTTAAAGGAACACTATAACGTTTGAAATACAAATACGTGTACCTAATCCTGAAGTGTCCTATTCACGGTTTAGGTGACAGAGCCAGCGCTGCCAGGGTTAAAAAAGGTGATGTAGTTACCTTTTTGAGCCCTCAGGGCAAATGTCTCCTCTGTGATGCTCCGCCTCTTTCCCTGAAATCATCAGTGTTGATCTATTCTAGGCATTATGAAAGCATTGGGAGGCTAGTGTGCATGCGCAGCAAAACTGCACCAATCAGATGATTTATTTGAGACGATCTGATTAAAATAATGGAGTTTTAGTCTGCTATTTTACAGAAGCTGTCATATTAAGTCATTAGAGGCAGGTTAACACTGCAAAGAAGTCATCCTGCAGAACGGCAATGTTTTCAGTGGTTAAAACCAGGGGCACATGGCACCAAGTCCACGTCACTGAAGTAAAGTGGTCTGGGTGTCTCTAGTGTTTCTTACTGGAGTGCAATTTGACATTTTTGTGCATTCTCCTCAAATAGTGTTCATTAGTATTCCATGTTCTTTAATGGTTACAATGTAAGCTGACCATTTAGCACAGCTTTTCACTCTACCAGGATACACCTGCGTAAAGGACCACTTTAGGCACCCAGACCACTTCAGCTTAATGAAGTGGTCTGGGTGCCAAGTCCAGCTTGGGTTAACCCATTTTTTTGTTTCAGAGAAACTGCTATGTTTATGAATGGGTTAAGCCTTCCCCCAAAGCCTCCTTTTCACAGTGGGGGGCACCCTCAGGGCACTATAGTGCCAGGAAAACGAGTATGTTTTCCTGGCACTATAGTGGTCCTTTAATGTGCGGGTTTAGCATAGATCGCACAAGGGCAATTATTTTGGTCAGTGGATCAAAGCTTTTTACTATGTGGGATCTTGCAGAACATTCAATTTGATGTTTGATGGCAGGGAATTGTAGTCATACAGATGAGGGCAAATTTGGATAAATACACTCTATAGCGTTAAAGGGACACTAGTCACACATCTCACGTCATCTCAATGAAGCGGTCTGGGTGCAGTGACCCTACCCTTTCTAATACTGCAATGCAAAACATTGCGCTTTTTACAGTGCAGGATTAAATCCACCTCTAGTGGCTGTCAGTAAAACCTTTATTGTATACAAACCTATATTCCTATTGCTATAGAGTTCCTTTCAAGCAAATGATTAAATGGGCATTGTTTTTTTTTTTTTTTTCTTTCAAAAAGTTTCACTAACAGTCAAAAGACCAAGACAATGATCCTTGTTAAAAAAAAAAATATAAAAAAAGACCTAGTTCATATATCCGGTAATCTACATGTCATCAGAAACTGGATCTCCTGACTGGAGTGAGTAGAGAAACATTTTAAAACTAAGAGGAAAGAAAGGAGAAAATCTATTAATTATTTTTTTTATTCCCTCCTTTTCTTAACGAATCAGTGAAACAAGTTATAATTTGGTTCACTATCCAACTTAAGTTCTTTCGCATGTTTCCATGATCTAATTGTTGGGAATTCAAAGCAAACGCAACATGGAAAGTAACTTTTTTGAATATAAATTTTTAACCAAAAATAGAATTGTAGAATTGAGCGGGGAAAATCTCCAAGTAAGCTATTTTTTCAGTGTGCCTAAAATTTGAAATTAACTTTGAATTTACTTACATTTTAAAGTTAAGGGAATAACCTTGTGCTCTTGCACACTTTTGACTATGTGTGTACATCATATTATCGCAGAACGTTTTGTTTTTGAGGCACTGGGGTATTTATTCTAAAGTGGTAGAGGTTAACACAGTGAGGGAGTTTAAGCATGCGTGGGATAGGCATAAGGCTATCCTAACTATAAGATAAGGCCAGGGACCTATTGAGAGTTTTTTTTTAGAAAACTGGGCAGACTAGATGGGCCGAATGGTTCTTATCTGCCGTCACGTTCTATGTTTCTATTTATTTATGGCTATTTTAACAAGCATTTTATTCATAAAAGGAGAGATGTCACTACAGTATCAGTTAAGGGTACATTGAGTGCTATTTAACTATGCACTTGAGATTCCATTTTGTTGTCCAGCTGTTAGAACATACCTATATGTTTTTCAACTTTGAGGTTATTGGTAATTCTAGATTTTTCTTACATATGTACGTTTTTTATTTATTTTTAACAACTACAAAATATACATATTACATGCACATGTGGGGGAGAGCAATTGCTTCACTTAAATCACCACTGCCCTGCAGGATGCATCCTATATGTTTCCGTAATTATAGGGGCAGTACGTTAGTTTCAGCCCTTTCCTTATTTTAAAGGGCACTAAAATACTTGCTGAAGCAAAATTCACCTTTTGCCCTCCAGGTAGCAATAAACCAAATGGGTGTATGTTTGTACTGGGGAGGACCCCATTCTGCGCTAAAACTAATTGCTACCCATAATTCAGCAGGGCACAAGAAGGTCAAACAAGCCAACTTCTTATTACCCTTTCAGTGTGAGGGGAATTTGCAAACAAGGAGAGTGAAACCACCGTAAATTAGGGCCTCAGTTTCCTGCATTTGCCAGGATTTTTCTTATTTTATTTATTTTTTTTAAAAAGTTTTATTTTTGGGTCCAACAACCAGTCTCCCCTCTCTTTTTCTTTTGTTTGTTAATGTTAGCATGATGTAAACATTGCTTAATTAAACCTGGGGTATTTAAAGAGGGATATAACACGAAACAGCTGTCCCTTGAAGCAGATCAGTTAAAAAATCAGGAAGCCGGGGCTTTTCCTTGAACATGAAGCATGTGTTTGTCTGTGGAGCTGGTAATTTACAAGAGCCACAATTAACCTCTTCACCCCAGAGAGTGAGTCTTTAGGGCCTATTCCTGCATGATCCATGATTAAAGAATAGGTGAACCGGCTGCCTGGGATAAAATAATCTGACTCTAGGGGAGAATAGTTTCTTAGATTTCTACTCTCTCTATCTGTCAGGTGCTTATAAAATCAAACTTGTGCTTTCATTGCTCTCAACTTAAAGTTAAAGGAACACTCTATTGAAAAGTTATTAGAATATATATTTCTCAAAGAGAACATGTAATAAAAATGCATGTTTTCTTTGGGGGCCGTCTGCAGCATTTGCAAGCTCTTTCCGACAGATTGCTGGGGAATGTTCCAATCATAGGGCTCTCGTTGAGTACATAATCACGGCTTTCCAATGCTTCTCAGTGAGTTGAAGTATAGCTCATTGAGAAGGGGGGAGGCAGGGCGCTTCTGTTAAAGAAGAAGGAAAAAATGCTTACCTGACTAAGTGACAGTTCGGCTTGCTGCACCAATTCTAAAGTTGTCAGTTTCTAGTGTCACAGCTATAACAGACTCTAGAATGTCTCTAGAAAGTGCTTTATATCTCGAGTGTTCCTTTGAGAACTTCACTTCTTATAATGCTCTTACAGCCATGATGCTGGCAAATCATCAGGGAAGATGTAGTCCGCAACATCTGGATTGCTATATGTAGCCTACCCCTGCACTTATAGGATGTATGCACGTTCTAGTTCTGCTGATTTAAAAAAAAATAATAATAATAAAAGTAAACAGAATAATTTTTAATGTGCTAAACTAAAGGGACAGTTGAGTCACCTTAAGGCACCATAACTACTTCTGAATTAAGATTTTATGGTGCCAAGAAGTCAGTGACTCAAGGGCTTAAACCATTTTCAAACGGTATAACCCCAAAGTTGCCTCCAGTGACTATCTCAACATCCCCCTCAGGAGGAATCTGGATTCTGAAATGTCACTTTCAGGAATCACACAGTGCCCCCGGACATGGGTGCTGCTGCTTGGCTGAAGCCAGTCAGTTTACTTTCTCAGCCAATCAGTGACTTTCTATTCAACAAAACTGGCTTGGAAAATAAATTTACCTTTTTCAAGCCAGCTTTGTGAATGGTGCATCACTGATTGACTGAGAGTGTTCGCTGACCGCTCTCAGCCAAGCAGTGGCACCCCCGCACGGCGACACCCCGCGCTTACTGAAAGTGAAAATTCAGCAGCCGGATGTTAAGATCGGCGCTGGAGGCAACTTTGGGGTTAAACCGCTTAAAAACCATAACCACTTAATTTAGATAAACATCTTATGGTGTCTGGAGTGTTCCTCTTAAATAATTATTGGTAGTAATTGAGGGGGAAAAAAACCCAATCTGTTCTGAAATGTAAATATGTAAAAGGGAGCAGTCTCTAATGCAGTGTACTTGCTGGTTCCACTGGTTGTCATGGTGTCTGCTCCACCTTTAAAACTTAAGACCACTTTTCAGAAAACAACTTTTTATATATTATGTTCAGAAATTGCTAGATTTGGTAATCGGCACTTTAAGTGAAAATATAAATTTATATATAAATATATTATTTTATCCTTTCAATTTACAGCATGAAAATAATCTATGCATGCTAAAATGGGCGAACAGGTCGCACTGGAGACAGGTCATTCTTGGTTTAATAATGCAAAGCCTGGGTCATATGCGGACATATCAAAGAACTGTAATTTTATCTTCATTGTTTTGTGTCAATCAGCACCAGTGTTATACAATTTATTGTGGAATTGCACCCAAGCAGTGCATAACCCAGCTATACGTTTACATGTATATAAGTGGTATTGTGCATACGTGTATATACGTGGTATTGTTAAATTATCACACAAGCAGTTTAATTGTGCTCCTTTTCAGTATCTTCGTAAGATGGTAAGCTGCATGTGCTCCTCGCCCCTTCTTCGTTACTTTTCTTCCTTGTTCACAGTTTCGTTAATAAACCCCACTTGGATTTTACTGTTTAATCATTCAACAAGCATGTTTAGTCAACACTCCCTTTTTTAAGTGCCAGTTGGGTAAGGGACAAATATCAAAGCCAAGCATTGTATGTTCCCTCTGGCATGCCGAGAACCTCTTAATCCTAGTGATTTCCTTAATAATTGCCTGTATTAGTAATTTATGTTGAATTCACTCAAATAGTCTTGGAGTAGATAAGTCTATGCATTATATGTAATGCTCCTGGGTCCACTAGGAATGATATGTATATTATATTCTCTTTAACTGCACCATCACATAAAAGGTTAAATCATCTGTGCTCACGTTACCCAGAATCCTTTTATGTCACACATGCTATGAAGGTGACATAACCAAGTTAGTACATGTTGTAAACTTGTCTTCCATGCTTTTTGTGTGTAGATGTCAGCTGAACAGCTGTAACAAGCTGTCTGTGAACAGGGCTTACGCCCTATTGCTCTATTCTTATTGCAGGAATCGCTCCCTTACCACATTTATACTCAAACTGGGCATGGCATGGTATCTGGCATAGGCTCCTTACATTTTTCAGTTTTTGTGAAATTCCCCAAGAACTTTTTTTAATTTTTTTGCAACCACAATAATAATGAAAGTGAAAGTGTGAAAAATGGCATACGAGAACTATAACTACTGTGTTATTTTGCACCTGGAGCATGTATTCAGCAGAAAATTGCTGCAGAACTTGTGTGTTCTGGTTTTTGTTTTTTTTTTTTTTTTTTAATCTTGTTTTGTTCTTTTTCACAAAGGGGTGTAATACCTAAACTAGGAATTGCAAAGTATAGCCAAGGCACCAACTTTAAACCATTATAGCTAAGCTGGAAAAACAGATCCGTTTTGAGAATTGTTCTGCTCTCATCATTAAAAAAAAAAAAAAATGTTTTATATATATTTTGGAGGTTTGATTGACACCTTAGTTTTTGTTTTACAGTACAGGAATAAAACAAATTAAATATTTGAGGGGTGTGTCTTGTGTTTGGACTCATAACCTACACTCGAGTAAATATCCTACAATGCTATTTACCTAGAGGATGAAATAAACTTTCTATAGGTACCATTTCAAAACGTTTTGTTTCTGTATTTAATGCATTTTTGTCTGGCGCTTGCGTTTTTTGACATGGGATCCATATGATTTGTAACATTATTTTGTCATTCACAGTGCCACAAGTTTTAATGCTTGATCTGAGAAACATTATTTGTTTCACAGTCTTATAAATGTAGAACAACAAAATTAATCCTACCTTCCAAGTTTTTTTTTTTTGGCACAAGAGGCAAAATTCTGAGATGGGTTGTTTCTTGTTGCAAATAAAAACAGGAACATAACCGCTCAATTTTATTTATTTATTTTTAAATGCTTTTTTTTTTTTTTTTTCCTGGTTCATCGCTGAAATTCAAGTACTTTTTTTCAACCAGTGTGCTTGCTTGTTGGTATTGGAAACATTTTTTGTTGCGCTTAGTATTCCGGTAATCTTTAGCGCATGAAACGTGGATTATATTTTTGCTGTAAGTGTCGATTTCGGCCCATTGTCCTTTCATACGAAACTTGTATGGATTACCCAGCGCCAAACCATGGCAAACCCCTGGAGCCAGGTAACCATGGATCCCGAAGTGTTACTGCTGGCACGCAGTATTTTTTGTCTATAATACAGAGCTCTCTATGGACACAACTCTTCCTGTGGCGCCTCAAAACGACAGGTTGGCTCCTATGTTGTATATAGTTTTGTCCAAGCTTGGCCGTAGTTGGCTTTAAACCACTGGCACTTGAAGTGTTAAACATTTTCCCCAAAGGAATGTTTTGTATTTGAAAAGGACACTTATGAAATGAGTGAATTTTTCTTTCTGTTTACCCAGACTCCTTTGCAATAAGTATTCTTTGGCACAAGCTACTCAAGGGCATTAGAACTGGCAGAATCTGGGACAGCAACAGGCGTAAAATATGTTAAGGGTCTTAATTCAGAGCTATACACAGACTGATTGATGTATGTCCAAGTACTCAGAAATTCATTGTACATTTTATAGAAAATGTTGCAATTTTTTTTTTTCTTTTCTTCACACATCTACTAATGGTCTGCTTTCCAACATTTTCTTTCACACCCTTTTCAGTGAACAGTTGGAATATAACTCAGGAGATTGCACCTCAGGGAGGAGATTTGGAAAATAGATACCGCCAAAAAACATTGCATTGCATTCTGTTTGGATCTTCTGTTGTCGAGACGCACATTTATGCCATGTTTTGAGCTGGGGAGGGAAGTCCAGTATTACAGCTTTTTCATTGGCTTATTTGAACATGACACTGGGGTCCAATAAAAATGTAGAGATGCTGTTCTTGCCACTGACTTACAAGACATACTGTATATACTCGAGTATAAGCAGAGTTTTTCGGCACATTTTTTGCGCTGAAAAACCCCCACTCGGCTTATGCTCGAGTCAATGTCTGTATTATGGCAACTTACATTGCCATAATACAGACCAGGACCGGCGGTCCTGTTAGGGGATGGCAGTGAGCTGTTACCTACCTTCCTGCAGCTCCTGTCAGCTCCCTTCTCCTCCATGCTGCTCCCAGTGTAAATCTCGCAACACCCGCGGCCATCAGAGCGTTGCCACGGATTACAGTGGCAAATCTCTGCGCGGCACATAGACTGCGAGGTTTACACTGGGAGCAGAACGGAGCTGACAGGGGAGCTGCGCGGAGGAGCTGCACCCAGTTTATAGACACTGCATTATATACACACACTGCATTATATACACACTACATTCATACACACACTGCATTATATACACACTGCATTCATACAAACACACACTGCATTATATACACATACACTGCATTCATTATATACACACACTGTAAATAAATATTCAATTAATGTAATTTTATTGGAATCTAATTTTATTTAGAAATTTACTTGTAGCTGCTGCATTTCCCACCTTAGGCTTATACTCAAGTCAATACGTTTTCCCATTTTTTTTTGTGGTAAAATTAGGGGACTCGGCTTATATTCGGGTCGACTTATACTCGAGTATATACGGTAATCAAGAATACTACAGCCTAAAGTAGTGGCTCTGGTGTTTATAGCCTGTCCCTGCCTATATATAGCAATATAAATGATGCCTAGGAATACCTCTAGTGGCAGTCACTCAGACGACAACTAGCAGTGCATCCTATCTTAGGGCTGCGCATCTCTGCATGGAGATCCTGAATGCCCCGCATAGGGATGCATTGATTAAATGCATCTCATGAGGTTCTGATTGGCACAGTGTGGCAGCTTGCTGCACATGCATAATAGCCTTTCAATGCTTTCCCTCAGGAAAGCATTGGATTGGCTGAGATTATCAAGATTGGTGATTTCAGCCAGGGTGACCTGGACTGCCAAAGCACGATGAGAGAGAAAGGGGCACTTTAAAACCTTTTGGCTACAGTCTCAGGGGGTCGGGGCCCTAAACAGCCACTCGTGTTTGTATTCCTAACACTATAGTGTTCCTTTAAGGTTCCGTTACAATTATTGTGTTGACGTATTGTTGATATATTTTATACATGTGCCCACTTCTGCTGTAGCAAATTCTAGATCTCTTTCTGTGTAGCTGCCCCTCACAAGTAGGAAGTAGCTGAGGTCTCCTAGCGAAGGCCTGGTCATTTCCCCCTAGATCTATACATAAAGCTTTATACAGGGTTAACGTACAGAAACAAACACATGCTTTAAGAGCCATTAGATGCTTTACTTTCATTGACAAAATTAGTTCTATCTGTTCTTGCAAGTGAATGTAACGTTTTGTTGATAAAATTCTGTGCCCAGGTATGTTTGACACCGACAACTGTATGTTACATGCAGGATAGCTCAACACTTTCTCTTGGAGAAAGGGCTAAATTGCAAGATATTTTTATATTTTTTGCAAAATAATAAATCTTTAGGATTAGGCAGAAAAAAGTACAGCTATTGTAATATGTTCCTTCATAATGTAATGTGGGCTGCATCTTTGTAAAACTGGTGCTATGTCAGCATACGTAAAGGGTTACAACAAGTTCCATGACCACTCCAGGGTTTTCCAAGTGGTTCTGGGGCAAAGGGACTGTATAGGCGGTGTTACGGTATGAAGAGCTGCAGGATTAAAACCATTGAGCTGAAGTGGTCTGGGTGACTATAGTGGTCCTTTAATAGTGCTTGTTTTAATGCCATTTTTAAAATGTTTGGTTTTGTGGTCTATTGACACATTTAATGCTTTCCCAGTTATTGGTCCTTAAACTGTTAAATCATCTCTACAGTATCAACATCTAGTTTTGAGATGGACATTGCAGACATTCCCACATTTGGTAGCCTGGCAGATCCTGTGGTATTTTGGGACGCATTGAAATGCATCGATGCAATCACTCTGTGACTTGGCTTCCCTTGTGAAGAGCTGTGAGAAAATTCCTGGTTGGCTGGCTGTGAATTACTGAAAATCTGTAGAGTGCTTTGCTAACGGTAGCCCCTGGGGTCTTTAAAAAATAGAAGTAATTCCCTTTTTAATAATAAAAAAGTCAGTAGGAGTAAACCTGCTTCTTAAAGAATACAAATGAAATGAAACATCTGCGACGTCTCGACCAATTGTCCGCTTCAGCACAATAAGGTTCTCCCCTTTGCCAGAAGTATCCAAGGTGACCCTGCATTCATTAGTTGCTGTCACACTGTTCTGCTCATTCTTCGTCTCTTTGAATGCTGACCCGTTTGTGTATTATGGGAATTGTCGCTGGCAGTTCTTGCTACCTGTGTCCTGATAATGGCATCACACGGGGACTTTGGCAGCATTTTGGAATGCCTGGTCATTGGTTTTGATTTGCTCACAAACTCTCTGAATTCCTTTTGACAGAACAGATGACAGGCTTTAAAGACAAACTAAACTTATGCTTCAAAACTCTTTTTATATCCAAGTGAAATTTGTCATGTTCGCAATTTAGAGTTTGATAGATTCCACTGTTTTACAGACGTTAAACGCAACAACAAAAAAGTTTCTGCTCATTACATTTGTTATTTAATATTTGATTATATATGACTGCCTACTTGTATTGTGACGATGAAAATATGTTTCCAGTTAACAAGAATATAGAAAAGAATATAATTTTAAATCATACATTTGCAAAGTTGGTTAGAATAGTCTAGTAAAACAACCACAACATCCTCGACACACCTAGATGACCTCTTAGTGATGACATTATTTGCGCCCTTGTACATTTATATAGATAGAGCAATGATTCTTGTCGCTGCCATTGCCATCCATTTTGTGTGTATGTCTCAAGGACTGTAAAATTGTAGAAATAGTTACCTATTTATATTATTGATGGTGTAGTTCCCAATCCATTCCTCAAGGCAAGCAAATGTTACAGGTTTAACATAAAAGTGAAATGATGCAGTCATGTGGTGTTCACCATCTTTCCCGATACTGCAGTCTCCCAAATAGCTCCTGACGTCTGACTCCGCGGACTTGTCATATTCCACGCTCCTTTGTATTTTGGCGGTATGGTTATAATAGGAGTATCCTGTGCTCTCATTGACTTAATAGAGCATTCTTTGTGTTCTGATTCTCTGTATTCTTTACCTAACTTGCTTATTGACTATAACCTTGACCTGATTCTGTTTATTTGATTATCAGATTTCTGGTGTCCCTTGACTTTGGCATGTCTAATGTTCATTCTGTCAGTCGGACTTGTATGAATCCCAGCCATCGCTAAGGACCAGTAACACGTTCAGTCTTCATTTTATACTCTGGTTATACTCTGCGTCTTTTGGTTTACTCCCCCCTCTTCCCCCCCCTCTTTTCCCCCCCCTCTCTTTCCCCCCCTCTCTTTTCCCCCCCACTCTCTTTCCCCCCCTCTCTCCCCCTCTCTTTCCCCTACCACCTCTCTTTCCCCCCTCTCTTTCCCCCCCTCTCTTCCCCTCTCTTTCCCCCCCTCTCTTCCCCCCCCTCTCTTCCCCCCCTCTCTTCCCCTCTCTTCCCCCCCTCTCTTTCCCCCCCCCCTCTCTTTCCCCCCTCTCAACACCCCCCCTCTCTTTCCCCCCCTCTGCTCCCCCCTCGCCCCCCTCTCCCCTCTCTTCCCCCTCTCTCTTCCCCTCTCTCTCCCCTCTCTCCCCTCCTCTCTCCTCCCCCTCCCCTCTCTCTTCCCTCTCTCTCCTCCCTCTCTCTCCTCCTCTCCCCCTCCTCTCTCTCCCTCCCTCTTTCTCTCCCTCCCCTCTTTCTCTCCTCCCCTCTCTCTCCCCTCCCTCTCCTCTTCACCCCTCTCTCCCCTCCCTCTCTCACCCCTCCCCTCTTTCTCTCCTCCCTCTTTCTCTCCTCCCCTCTCTCTCTCCTCCCCTCTCTCTCTCCTCCCCTCTCTCTCTCCTCCCCTCTCTCTCTCCTCCCCTCTCTCTCTCTCTCTCGACTTGGATACATTATCCTATTTAAAAAAAAAATGTAAATTCCTACACGAACAGTGTATTTGATAAACACATCAATGTTAACAGATCTATAAATTTCACCTCTTTTCCACCTGCACACCCCCTTCTGGAAACTGACTATTAAAGTCCATAAATTTTGGATTCCAGCAGCACTGGATGTGCCTAGTTTTGCTGTTTAGTATTCTTTCAGCATTACTGCATGGAAACTATATCCAATTACACAGATTCCCTCCCAGCTTTCTTTTCCGTGTAAATGTTATCTGGGAATCTTGTATTCATTTTATAGCCTTTTTAGTAATTGTAGTTCATTCTTCCATATGGAGACCGGAATTTGTAATTAAGGAAACTTGATGCTGCTCAATTATCCTCTTAAAAAAAAAAAAAAAAAAAAAAAAAATATTTTTATACAAGGGCAACATTGAGACAGGATCTTTAGAGAAAAATAAAATCACTTAATAAAATAATACAATGTGAACTTAACTAGACATTAACCTAGAGATGCTACCAGAAGGGTGTGAATGTATACTGTTTCATACTGACTTTCACCTCGAAGGTTGGATGATGTTGATGCGTTCCCCAATATGGAGCTGCAGTAGAAGATATGTCCATTTCCTAGAGCTCGCACCCGTTTATCTCTGCTCTGTTGCTTGCTCAAAGTATTGGTTGCATTTTGGCAACACTGGAGCAATGAGAGCGCGTTTGTTTGCAGTCAGAAATGCACACACTGGAAATGTTGACAAAAACAGAAATGTACAATTTATTCTTATTATTTTCAAATAATACAAACATTAGAAAAGAAATGCACACACTTATTGTTGCAGCACTAGAGTCACTCTTGATTGTAACACTCGAGCTCCACAAATGCAGCGGGGTGTTTTTTGTTTAGTTTTCCTTAGGCCCATATGCACTCTCCTAAAACAATGGTGTAAAAAAAAAAAAAAAAATTGTTAAAGGAACACTTTAAGCACCATAACCACTATATTATGCTGTAATGGTCATGATGTCATAAGTGCCTCCTCTCCATGCAAGCATGGCTTAGCTTATTGGCTAAGAGCAATCTGCTAGCTTTTTTAGCCAATCAGCTGGCCTCGATCAGGAGCTTTTGTTTATTACACAGAAAGCAAGGGGAAGAGGGTGGCTCCTGGTAGACCCCAGGTAAGATATTGAATCCTTAGAAAACAGTTTGGCATGTGTGTTACATATTACACCTCAAAGTGTTATGGGAGTATTTTTTTTTTTTTTTACATTTTATCTACTTAAATATTGTATTCAATTAGAAATTGATTGTTTATTTGTATTAAAATGACACTATAGTCACCAGAACAACTATAGCTTAATGTAGTTGTTCTGGTGAGGTATAATCATTGCCTTCAGTCGTTTCCATGCAAGCACTGCCTTTTCAGAGAAAAGCAAGTGTTTACATTGCCCCCTACGGACACCTCCAAGTGGCCACTCCTCAGCTTCCTGGGGCAGTGATGCACAGTAGGCAGCACTGCTGTTCAGAGTCTCCATGCTCTGCATGGAAATGCAGAATTTTCCTCATAGAGATGCAATTATTTAATGCATCTCTATGTGGAGGTGCTGATTGGTAAAAATGGTGTTTAGCCCCGCCCCATCAGCCAATCCAATGCTTTCCCAAATTCTACTCTAAAATCTTTCTTATCATCTCTTCTTTGCTGAAAATATGCATTTTAATCATTCCCTATGGGAAAGCATTGGATTGGCTTAAACTCTGATAATGTCATCTAGGAGGCAGATCATGGGTGGGGCCAGACCCTCGCAGCGCTTGAAATACGGTGAGCCACCTAAATGATGGATTAAATACTATAGGGTCAAGAATACTCGTTTGTGTTCCTGACTCTATGGTGTTCCTTTAATTTAAATGCCTGCTCTCGGTGATGATCATGTTTTAAATAAGTCAGCCATTTTTTATTACATCTGCGATATATGATATGCTGGTATCATATGCTCTTGGCTAAACAAATTATCTAAAGTTCAGATTACCAAATAATATTTTTGCGTGGTAAAGTTCAAATAATATTAATCATTTTTAGAAATGTTGTACTCCTAATTTTAGTGGGAAGACCTATTTAAACAATATGGAACAGTCAACTTTCTGTTCTAGGAGTTTCACATAGAAATCTTGAAAATTACCTTAAAGTGGCTGTAAAAATGACCAGAAAGGTGTTGCATGGTAAAGTGCTTTTTAGTTGTCATTGTGTCTTGTGAATGATGCCTTCCACTTTGTAGCTTGCTAAGAAACTTTGGGTCTAAAATGTATCTACCTTCTCCAAAGAAAGTAGAGGTTTTTTTTTTATTCGGATACAGTAGTCTGCTGATAAATGGCTGATTGTTCTCATTCCTTTGCAAGTTTTTTTTTTTTTTTGTGTGTGTGTGTGTGATCCCAATAAAAAGTAAGTGTGAAGCAGCAAGTCAAAATCAACCAGTCTAGCAGGTGAAAAAGTTGCTCTTTGGAGTATGGAGACTGCAACTTGTACAAAAGACCCATGTTTTATTCAGAAGTCCAGCACAATGTAAAGTTGATGGAGCTAAATTTTCAACAAACAGACCCATTTGGGGTGTGTAATTCAGTAATCTCCCATTGATATTTGTATTCCTTTAGACCGGAAGCCGTGACGTGTGAAATCTTACACAAGGTCATAATGGGGACTCATTCTTTGATTCACAGAACGTATACATCTCTTGTTCCAGTCATTGCCCTCCAGATTACACTGACAAATCCCATCGACCCAAATTCTACTCTTTCTCATCATCTTTTCTTCGTTGGAAATATGCCTTTTAATCATGTCACCCTATCTCTTCGACTTTCATCCAGAATTTATTCCTTATTGTTTTATGTTTAAATAATCAAGCATTTAGTTATCTAATATGTATGAATCATTCTAATAACATTTTTAAAATATTGAAATACCAGCTAATATATTCTTCAGATCGAAATTTAACAACCCTACAAGGGGATTCTTTACATTCCATATACGTTGGATCATTAAACACTGTCTAAGAATGCCAGCAGGACTCTAAGTGACTTTTTAAACATATTTTCATGTCTTATTTTTAAGATTCTGACCTTTGGTTGAGTAACTAGTTGTTAAAGCAGAGACAAATTGCCTTTAGTGATATGTGTTAATTGTTTCATTTCCTATTGTGCATAGAATGGTAAATATCTTGTTAAGCATTATAGTACACATTGTCTGGCGCTCCTAAAGTGTCAAAGGTTAGCCATCACTTTAAAAAAAGGATTCTTGATTAAGTAGTTGGAAGCAAAATAGGCACGTTTCTGAGTTTTTTTTTTTTTCTTCTTAATGCTATATTGATCATTATAACATTGAATATAAATATATTTTGGCATGCAAGCTCCCCTACCCCTGTGGTAACCCGATTGGCCTTCACATCTGAGCTAATGAAAGCCATACGGTGGCTGGGAGTAGACCTATATCAATACTCCCTCCCCACAACCCCAATGTTAAAAGCTATTTACCTTTTACATGACCAATGCCATTACTCTTATTCATTTCTCTTTTCCTATTTTAAACCCGCTACTGAAATCCAACAAAACTGGACTGAATGAAGATGTTTATTTTTCTCTTCATGGAAATCCAACTTGTCACAATGGGCATGTTATCATATGTATCACTTGAGAGAGAGAAACAATTACTACCCAAAAGTACATTGTCATTCTGTTTTAAAAAAAATAATTATATTGTTCCATTTTTTATATAATTCATAAAATGTATGACCGCTAGTTCTCAGAAGGCTGAATTGAAATCTTATAGAAATTATTCTATTTGTGTACTCCTTTAAATAATGAAATGGTCAAATATTGAATATTTTTACTCTATGGTAATGGGGCCTTCCTTTTTTGAAGGTAAAACGTTTTACAAATAAATATTGGCCTATGACAAAGTTGCACTTGAACAGTACACAAAGGCACAGATTTAGAATTACATAGTTACATAGCTGAAAAGAGACTTGCGTCCATGAAGTTCAGCCTTCCTCACAAATGTTGTTGCTGTTGATCCAAAAGAAGGCAAAAAACCCAGTCTGAAGCGCTTCCAATTTTGCCACAAACTAGGAAAAAAATCCTTCTTGACCCCAAAATAGCAGTCAGATGTCTCCTTGGATCAAGCAGCTATTATCACACTAATTAGAAATTATATCCCTGTATGTTATGTTTTTTTTTTTAATTCTTTATTTTTGTAGTTCATAAGCTTTGAACAGATGCATATGAGGTACCCCAAAGGCAATCCTCCAGCTGATAATTAACAGTTAAACATAGAGAAATTATAACGCTATATTCAGGCTATGTCTAGGTCACTTTAGTGGAATTTCACCCTGGTTAATCGGCCCAGTAGAGAGGGCTGCCATCATGGTGGTCCCGAGACCTCACAGACAGGGGGAGTCCCACCACTACCCGATACCTGCTCTGCTGTTTCTGAGTAGCTGGGAGTGAGTGTCAATCAGAGCAGGCATTAGGCCACCGTCCCTTCATGTTGTGCATTGGGTTGATTGCTGGGATCTCTTGCGTTTTCGCTGTAGCTTGTTGCGCTTGCCTCTCTTGTTCATCCGGGAGCTGGTGACCGCCATTGTAGAGGGTTTGGTGATGGCTGCTCGGGTATGCTGGTTTCTGTGTCGCCTCAGTGCAGGCTGGTTGGGAGTAAATTGTGGACGGCTGTCTCTGCCAGCTCCATCCCAGCGCAAAGCAGGAGGCAGTGGGGTTGTGTTCCATGCCCAGGCGTGGGGAGAGTCCCTTGAGATAACCCCATGAGTTCCACTAGGTCCTGATGTCCCGCCGTGTCTTCCCGGTTGCTGGGTATGTTTGCCTTGCCTTGTTAGCCTTGATGTGCTGTCGAGGGCTGTAGCACCATGCGGTCTGTAGGTTAAGTTGATTATCCTGTTGGTTCTTCCAGCCCTGGTCGTTAGTGAGGCTTGCTTGCAGAGTGCGCTTCTGGGGTTGCAGCTTTGGCATGGGCATGTGGAGGAAGTGCTGGCTGTGATGGTCCTCGCCTGTCAGCTTGCTTGTTCCAGAGTTGTTTCATGGGGGCTTGAGAGCCCTCAGGGACACCCGTGTTAACAGCTCCGGTTTTGAGCACTGAGGGATCACCGTCTCGGTCGGTGCAGTTGCTGTGCAGCCGTCTGCCATTTTGATGAGACCGCGTGGGAGACTCACTACTCAAGCTTTGGGCCATCCAGGTGAGATGCTTAGGCGGTAGCCCGCATGGTGGGGACCGGGATGACCCCCCCGGCCCACAGGGGGGAGGGAAACGAGACCAGGAAGGCACTAGCCAGATGGCAGTTCGCCGTAGTCGGGGTGGAGAGCGAGGCAGTGGCCGTCCGCCCCTCTCCCCTCCCGGGTAGGCCTCAATCACCGAACCCCGGAGTCTCTCACCAGGACCTAGAGCCACCCTGCAGCGGCTGCCCCAGCTACACCGGCACACTCCAGAGCTTCGTGCCACGGACCCCCGGGTCTGTATAAGCCGAGTAAGGTGGGTATATTCCATATTTTCCTCTGTTTGCTCGGGAGCCCGTGTGATATGCAGCCTGCTGGCATGGCCGTCCGGCCCTGCCCCCTGTATGTTATGTTTTTGTAAGTATTTATCCAATTTCAGTTTAAACATCTGTATGGACTCTGATAAAACCACCTCTTCAGGCAGAGAATTCCATATCCTTATTGTTCTTACTGTAAAAAAAAACCTTTTCTTTCCCTTAGATGAAATATCCTTTCTTCCAGCCTAAATGTGTGACCTTGTGTCCTATGTATAGCCCTGTTTATGAATAGATTTCCAGTTAAAGGTTTGTACTGGCCCCGAATATATTTGTATAAAGTTATCATATCCCCTCTCAGGCGCCGTTTTTCCAAACTAAATAGATTTCATTTTTTTAACCTTTCTTCATAACTAAAATGCTCCATTCCTTTTATCAATTTTGTAGCTCGTCTCTGGACCCTCTCCAGTGCCATGATATCCTTCTTTAGAACAGGCGCCCAAAATTGAACAGCATATTCAAGGTGTGGTCTTACCAGCGATTTATAAAGAGGCAAAATTATATTTTCATCCCGAGAATTTATGACCCTATTTATACATGACAAAATCTTACTGGCCTTAGCAACTGCAGATTGACATTGCATATTGCTGCCTAATTTGTTGTCTATAACAATTCCCAAATCCTTCTCGTGTGTGGTTATCCCTAATTCACTACCATTTAGTGTGTAAGTTACTTGTGCATTCTTAACCCCGAAGTGCATAACTTCCAAATCTCTCTGCAGCAAAGCAATATCCTGCTCACATTTTATTACTTTACAAAGTTTTGTGTCATCTGCAAACACTGATACATGGCTTTCAATGCCTATTTCAAGATCATTTATAAATATGTTAAATAGAAGTGGTCCCAAAACAGAACCCTGAGGGACACCACTTACCACTTTTGTCCAGCCTGAAAATTTACCATTAATTACAACTCGCTGTACTCTATCCTTAAGCCAATGTTCTACCCAAGAACAAGAATATTCATCTAGACCAATTTCTTTTAGTTTGAAGACTAACCTATTGTGAGGAACCGTATCAAATGCCTTGGCAAAATCCAAGTAGATCACATCCACTGCAACACCCTGATCTATACTTCTACTTTCTTCTCCGTAGAATGCAATTAGGTTAGTTTGACATGACCTATGTTTCATAAAACCATGCTGATTATTGCTAATAACAAAGTTTTTCCCAATGAATTCCTGAATATTATCCCTTAATAGCCCTTCAAATATTTTCCCAGTTACAGAAGTTAAGCTCACAGGTCTATAATTTCCAGGCAAGGATTTTGAACCCCCCTTTTAAATATAGGAACAACATTGGAAACCTTCTTTGTTGAAAACCAGAATCTACTTAATCCCTAAGCAGAATAATGTTGTAGGTGGTTTCTTTAGCCAATCCCCCCTTAAAACAAAAGTAGTTTTGTATATATTTTATATTTATTCAGTAAATTATATTGAGGTGACAAATTGCAAAAAACAAACTAACTTATTTTTGCTAAATTTTTATTTAAATTGCTTCTGTGCTAGACTTTTCACATACCTATTAAGATAATGTATAAATATGTGGGATGAATTTTAACAGGTTTCCACACTCACCTTTTTTTTGGAAGCGTCATCTGAGGCCAAGAACCTCTCCCCTCCCCCCCTCCGCCCCTTCTCCTCTCCATCTTCTGATCAAAGAACCCAAATGCCATCCTGGTGTTTTAGTTGCACACTGGCAATCTGTAGATACAATTACATTTTTTCAGCATGAAACCAAAAGTTTGAAATCCCAGAAGCAGTCTCAAATTTATTGCTAATAAAAGAATTTATTGTACTGAATGACATCTGCTGTATCACTCTGGGAGCAGAAACTGGCAAGAAACACACAGGAAATATTTCCATTTGAGATCATGAGAGCCAGAGTCAAAAGTGTCTGATTTCAGTTAAGTCCCAATAGATAAAAAAAAATAATGGATAATTATAAAAAAAAATTAATAATAATAAAAAAAAAATTGTGTGATGATTTCTCTTCCCTTTAATTGGACCACATAAACATGCATTTGTTTTATTGAGCAAATGTTATTTTTGTACCACTTAGTAGTAATTTATTACAAAAACACAATGCCTGGATTACGTTTCATGGTTTTTTTTTTAACCCCAAAGAGTTAATCTATAGTCTGTCTGTCTGATATTTCCAGACAGAGTCTGCAAAAATGAACAGTATTAGCTACATATAATCTAGCTTGGCATAACTTTTTTTATAATTATCAGGATTTTACTATGATGGTCAAAGTATAGATTTAAATTTAAAAAAAGTGTGCTTCCGTGAGTTTATTTTATTTTTTTTCTATTTCCAAAGTATTAAGTGCCATTAGACGTTAGTATAACCATGGCAATATTCGCATATATTTAGTGGAAACTTGTTTGTTCAGAATTTTTAAGATTCATGACTTGTCATAGAAGGCCTCATGCACAATTATTTTTGCAGCCCATGGTATCAGGCATTCGTACATCAGCATTTCAACCAAATAAAACTATTTATTTTTAACTATAAACAATGCAATAGGTTAAAATCATGATATATATTTCTGGAATTTTTTGTCAACCCATATACTCTGTAAAGAATTTATTATTATTTTTTGGGGGGCATTTTGTGTTTTTTTTTATTCTAGCAGTTACACTTTTAAAAGACCTTGCTCGTGGGGTATGTCAAGATTTGAGAATTACTTGTGTTTTTTGTTTTGTTTTTTAATGGGGAAGTAATTTTGATTTGCACTGTTGACTTCCTGACTCAGACTGAGCAGGAAATGCTTTTCCAATCAAGCGCAACAGAAAATAGTTTTCTTTTTATCTGTTGGCAGTAAAGTTGCAATAGCAAACGCATAATATATTAATTTTTTTTTTTTTGGTAAAGGTAGTCATTTGTAGCAAATATGTAGACAAATAAGACTATTTCATTGTGCATTTTCACCCAATTTCTCTATTCCACAAAGAAAGGCATAACATTCTAGATACACTAATTGGATAATTGTAATGTGTAATCTGACATGTTGGGGGTCGGGGGGAGGGGGGACAGAATAAAAACAGACCTCTAATTAACTGTTATAGTATAATTGGCCTATTACGTATTGGGGGTCTTCTACATTACAGAGCCTCAGCCTTTGATAAATCCCAAAGGAATGTTACTTGTGTTTAACTCTCAGTGTACTACCTCGGCATTGCATATGCATGTGAACGTAATGTCACAAAATGCACACATAGACAAGTGTCTAAGCACCAAGGTGAATGCAGGATCTTCACTGCGTCTTACAATGTAATTAACCGATTGAAGCAGTTGACTTTTAAAGCGGTGGTGTAAACACCGTAACCACTACAGTGTGTGTGTAGTCTCCCTAATTCTATTAATTTTCTAGTAGTTTGAATTTGACTTAAAACTATGGCTGCCCAAGGCACCTGCAGGTTGCACCCACTCAACTCAAGTTCTGCTTCAAAATTAGCTATATCGATGTCCTCCATATTTAGAACGCACCGATCTTGTGCTTGACTTCTAACTGGCTGCCAGAATTTTACATCTAAATTGTATTTACTGTGGAGGCAAAATCTTGTCTTTTTTTTTTTTTTTTTTTAAGTGTGAATGGATGACCTCTAAAATTTTAAAGACCTTTTTAATTACCGTATTTTTCGCTCCATAAGACGCACCTCACCATAAGACGCACCTAGTTTTTAGAGGAGGAAACCCAGAAAAAAAAATATTCTGAACAAACTGTTCCATAGTGTTTCTTACCATGGGACAGTTTGTTCAGAATATTTTTTTTTCTCCCCTGTCCCATAATGATCTTTAACCCCCCTTTCCTCTGTCCCATAGTGATTGTTAACCCCTCCTACCCTGTCCCATAGTGATTGTTAACCCCTCCTACCCTGTCCCATAGTGTTCTTTAACCCCTCCTCCCCTTGTCCATTAGTGTTCTGATCCCATAGTGTCCCCCCCTCCCATTGTCCCATAGTGCACTTTCCCTCCCATAGTGTCCCCCCTGCCCTTGTCCCATAGTGTCTCCCCCTCCCCTTGTCCCATAGTGTCCCCCCTCCCCTTGTCCCATAGTGTCCCCCCCTCCCCTTGTCCCATAGTGTCTCCCCTTCTCCCATAGTGTCCCATAGTGTCTCCCCTCCCTTTCTCCCATAGTGTCCCCCTCCCCTTGTCCCATAGTGTCTCCCCCCCTCCCCTTGTCCCATAGTGTCTCCTTTCCCCTCCCCTTGTCCCATAGTGTCTCCTCCCCTCCCCTTGTCCCATAGTGTCTCCCCCTCCCCTTGTCCCATAATTACTTACCTGTCTTGGAGCGTGGGCCGGCTTCACAGCGCGCTCCGCGGTCCAGGAACTAATATTTCAGGTTCCGGTTTCCGGCGGGACTGAAAGGAAGTGTGCACACTCAGTGTGCACACTTCCTTTCAGTCCCGCCGGAAACCGGAACCTGAAATAGAAGTTCCTAGACCGCGGAGCGCGCTGTGAAGCCGGCCCAAGCTCCAAGACAGGTAAGTAATTCTTCACATTCGCTCCATAAGACGCACAGACATTTCCCCTCACTTTTGAGGGGAAAAAAAGTGCGTCTTATGGAGCGAAAAATACGGTAATTGAATTAGGTCTGTATATTAATATATTGTTTTGTAATGTACTTTTTCTTTTTAAAAAAAAAAAAAACTGGCAATCATGTGAGATATTTTTAATAAACTTTAACTTGTCTTCATTTATTAGGTTAACTCTCCTCCACCCTATCCATAGACTTCTGTGTAAGGCCCTTTGAGGGCTATCTCTGTTAAAAAGGCAGGTACATGCTAGTTTTTTTGTTTGTTTGTTTTTTGAGTTTTGAATTTTTTGAGCCCTTACTTTTTGAGTCACAGGAATATTGTAAAGTCCAGGAGATGGGTGCTTATTGTGAGATACACACAAGGGAACCTGACTGTAGGTAATAATGTGCAGTAGATCACCGGTGCAATAAATGGCTAAATTCATTCTACCATTTCTGATTGCAGCATTCTTTCTTGGGCTTATCCTCCATATCTGAAAAATTAAAAGATCACTATAGGGTCAGGAATACAAACATGTATTCCTGAACCTATAGTGTTAAAACCACCATCTAGCCCTCCTGGGCCCCTGATGCCTCCATAAATATATAAAAATCTTACTTGTATTCAAGCCTGAAGCTGTAGCTCTGCATGCTGTTTGTATCAGAAAAACAAGCCGTCTGCTGACATCATCAGAAGTGGTAGTCTGATCCAATGACAGTGCTTCCCCATAGGATTGGCTGAGAGTGACAAACGGGCAGATCAGTGGCAGAGCAAGCATGATTCAAACACAGCCCTGGCCAATCAGCAATCAAATAATCTCCATGAGGAAAGTTCTGTGTCTGCATGCAGAGGGAGGAGATACTGAATGTTTGGGTGCCTTTTAGGCAGCCATGACCAAGGAAGGATCTCTAACAGCCATCTGAGGAGTGGCCAGTGAAGTTATCACTAGGCTGTAATGTAAACACTGAATTTTCTCTGAAAAGACCTTGCTTACAGAAAAAAGCCTGAAGGTAATGATTCTACTCACCAGAACAAATTCAATAAGCTGTAGTTGTTCTGGTGACTATAGTGTCTCTTTAAAGATTGGAACATGTACAAATTTACACATCTGCCAACTGCTGCTATTTTAACACATTCTGGTTATTAATAATAGACTCTCAGTTTAATGATTCTCCTGTAAAATTGCTAAATAAAGTTCACTTGTGAAATACAAAAGACCTCTTACCTTTTTAGAACATACAGAGATGCCTTCACGCTGTGCAAGGTGAACTTTTTCTATCCCTGCCATCACATTTTACTATTGGAACCTGCCACTGTCTTGATATGGTGTGTTTCCTGATTATCCTTAGTAAAGTGCCAATGGACTGCCTTCCACAGTTATTGCCTTCCTTATTGCTCCTTAGAATGCGTTAGGCAGCTCTTTCCATGCAGTTTATACATTTACCCTTACCGTTATTTAATTATTTTAAAAAGATATAATAATATTATGTATAGAAAGTGTTCTCTATAGGAAATGTCCGGCGCCTCCATGCAGAGCTAGGAGACGCTGCACACTGTGCTGCATTGGACTTTGATGAATATTTAGTGCTCGTCTGATTGTCTGCCACTAGAGGTGTTACTAAGCACTGAAAAGGCAGTTTTTACATTAAAATCCTGCAGGGACAGGCTGTAGAAACCAGAACCAGTACATTCATCTGTAGTTGTTCTGGTGACCATAGTGTCCCTTTAGGCCTGATTGTCTACCCAGATCTTTTTCTTTAAAAAAAAATAAAAAAATGAACGGTTTACATTTCTGTTGACTCGCAGAATGGCAATTATTTTTACTTATATACTTATTGTTTTGAAAAGTTTTTTTTTAATTTTATTTAACAATTCTGTTTACTGTTCATTTTTTGCACATTCACATCCCAGGTTTGCGGTCTATAGGTTTTCAAAGGCTTTATGAACGCGTGTTGTAGGTTGTACCAAACCGGCGAGATTGGTTGCATGCGACAATCTGCAGTAACTAACACTCTGCAGATCTGTTAACGTGTTCAGACAAAACCTTTCTTTGATGATGAGTTTAAGTGGGGATGATTAGGTTTCTTTTCAGGAAATCTAGTTTCACAAAAACTGTAATTATAAGCTTGCAGTTGACTATGGATATAACACGCAAGCCTTTGTTTTGGCTTTCTTTCAAGCATACTTAGACCAAATCCTTGGGAAAATGGCTATTTGAAACTGGCTGGCTTTTTAAAAAAATTTTTTATAATGTGTGAGATCCATAGGGTGTAACATTGACTGGTCGAAAGTGAGACCAGCCAAATTTGTATTCATCCAACAAATGTTCTATAAGCACTTCGTTTTGTGCTGGTTGTTTAAACAGGAATACATTTAGAGATTTGATGCTAGGATTGTCATAGATCATGATATGTATAATTCTTAATATTTAAAATGTACAGATAGGATAAGGAGTCTGGAGATGATTTGTATGTAACAGAATTCTCATTGTTCTTTCATCATACCAAAGTATATTTTGTCACGCCACTAGCGGATTACATGCCCTACGCTTCTTCCATCCAAATTCATCACTGTAGCACAGCATTTATTTAAACAGTATCAAATGGATATGATTTTATGTTCAGATCGGTTTTCATTTCAGACTTTTGAATGAAGAATCTATTTGTTTAGCCCCTAGGCCTAGGACATAGGATGGTGCTACGTGGCTTATTCACTAAACAAAGGAGTAAAGTCAACTGAAAACTAAATTGCAGAATCCCAAGCTGGGACTAGATCATGGTTGGATAATTTTTGTAATCCTGAAAGTTTCCTAAATATTGGAGTTGGGTTTTGTTCCCTTCAATAAAATGTTAAGCAAACTCCTAATTTTCCATTGGAGGCTCAGCAAAGTGTTGATATAAATGGCTTGTATTGAAAATAAATTGATGTTAAAATATTGTTAATTACGAGGCTTGGGCTGCACTTTGAGAGACTGTAGGTGAAACAAGTGGCCGATTTTAGCATCAAAGCTTAGTTTGATTGGTTGCGTGGTGTTTTAGCCAAGTAGAAAGCAGTTTGCAAATCATGGTCATTGACCAGAAATTCTGCAAAAGAGTAAACCTGTGTCACCCACACTCCATAATATGCTATTGAGATTTTCATAAATGTGAATTTTCTACATGTGTTCTTTATATGAACTGACGTCAAGCTAAAACATTGCTCTCCATTTTAATTCTTATTTTATAGCAAAGGATACATACATGAGGCTCAAATGATAGCTTGTTCATCACATCTGCTCACAGAATGTTCTGTAATATCCTTTAATTGCAGCCTAGAAATTACCTCTTGCTTTTAAAATCTCTTTACCATACATCTTCCTTTGTGTCATGCATGGGGCACAGATGCACATAAAATAAAGTACAGTGAACACTTATCTATAAAAAGATTAAAGTGAGCTGAGTTAAAACATCCTTCAGCTAATTATGATGAGCTGTGCGTTGTTGTGTTTTTTTTTACTTGTATTTGTTTAATAGCCTTCCAAAGGGATGGGAAATCTCCTAAATTCTCTCTTGTTTTGGAAAATGCAATCCATAAAGAGATGAAATTTCCTCTTCCAGGCCTGAGTGATCAACGAAGAACATGGATCAAACCCCATGTAATTAGTCTCTGTGCTCAGATCCGGTTACAACAAATTGAGATTATCCAGTGCTGGTATTTACAAAAGAAAGGTGTGTTTTGTTAGAATGCATTTTTTCTTCTTTTAGGCTTGTATGCCCCACCTTTTAACATGGCCTATTAGCAACCTTGTGTAACATAATTTTTTTATTTTGTGTGTATGTGTGTGTATATATAATATATATATTTGAACATTGAAGTTGCTGTTTAGTGGCTAGGTGAGTGTGCTGGATCTTGTATTGTATAAATTGGCCCCCCGCAGCACCCATTTATGCATGTTCAGGTGAGAGCAGCCCCCTGGTTTCATATATAGATGTTACTTTAGCCCAGCATCCAGGGGATGTTGAGATATATATATATATATATATATATATATATATATATATATATATATATATATATATATATATATATATATAATTATTATAATTATTTGTATAGCACCAGCAAATTCCCTAGCCTGTACAATAGATCACAGATTTAAAACTCTGACACCCAGATGTTGATAGTCTAAAACTTCCAAAATTCTTTGAATGCATTGGATGGCCAAAGAATCATGGGATTTGTAGTTTAGAAATATCTCGGGGGGCCAAATTTTGAGATACATACCAGGACATACTTGAAAACGAGAGAAATCTCTATGTATCCATCGTGGTAAAATATTTTATAAATAAATAAACACCTTGGGAAAGTTAGTAGTATGCGCAAGTACTGCTGAAAATTAGGGACACTCAGATATTGCTGTTTAACAAAGCACAATTATTGACATATGTAGCAGAAACATCACTTTCTAAGGAAGTCATTTGCCATCATCGGATGTCATTTCCCTTTTTTTTTTCTTTCTAGTGTCTAAGTTCTGCATCTTGTCTCATGTACTGAGCAAGATTACCAATAACATGTTCACACAGAGCAGGCCTTTGTTTGTCGAATAGTTTAACCTCTGCAAAAAACATTCAGGAAACTGAAGTTGAGCCCTATTCACTGGAGTGTCATTCTTAGCTATATATCATGACAGTGTTCAGGATAACTGGCTATTTTGCAGACCTCCTGATATCATGTCCCTTAGCAGATCTGTTCCATAGATTCCAATTTCCCTTCATCTGGAACGGAGTAGCTCTCAACTTATCCCAATGTTATAAATGTTTATTGAGCGCTGCTATTCATTCAGCAGGAGGCTGTATGGGGCCACTGCAAATGATCTGTAAACCACTTTACAACAGGGGACATATGAGTCAAGACACAATTTCCGGCCCTACACACGAGCCATTCTATTGTATCTTCGACCCACACTTGGTCATCTCTGATTCTGATATTATAGATGCCCTCTGGAGCTTTTTTTTTTATTGTAATGCTGAATATCCCAGATATAACTAATAAAGTAATCTATTTCACATATAGTTATTGATTTTGAAATTGGTTCCATTCCAAGAAGAGCCAGTAAACCTGTATAATAGAATTTGGGAGAAGATCTTGCTGTGATTTAGCTACTATTATCAAGTTTTGTTCTCACTAAATACTGGGGTGGCTGGGAACAGTCTTAATGTGATCATTTCCAGTAAAATCTCTTGTTATGCCTGTAGTGTTTCTTTAAGTAACAACAACTGTAACTTAATTAAGCAGGTATATAGAATTTGCCCCTGCAGCCTCACTGCTCAATTTCTTGCCATTTAGGAGTTAAATCACTTTTGTTTCTGATTATGCAGCCCTAACCACACCTACCCTGGCTCTGACAGACAGCCTACACAAAAGTTTTTCTTTTCAATCAGAAGTAAACTTGCTTTAGAAGTTTTTATTTCTTGCTATTTAAATTGTTTTTTAATCACACACACACACAGCGGGATCCTGCAGGGTATTGAAGACTATTAACAGAGCAGGAGATAGGACATCCTAGATTAAACAGATTGTGTATGATACAGGGACATAAAATATCTAGTTTCCTTTGCAGGAAGTGTTTAGGTAGGCTGTACAAGTCACATGAAGGGAGGTGTAGCTAGGGCTGTATAAACAAAATAATTTAACTTCTAAATGGCAGAGCATTTAGTTATGAGACTGCAGGGGCATGATCTATATACCAAAACTTCTTCATTAAGCTAAAGTTGGTTTGGTGTCCACAATGTCCCTTTAATGCCTTCCAATGTTTTATGCAATACACATTGATAGTGACTTTTTCTTCAAAACGTGATGGAAACCATTTCCAAAATGAATAACACTTATTACAAGATTTGTCGTGCCATATTTAAACCTTGATAATGACAGACACATTTCACAGCCTTGTTTTGCACTCCTCCAAATCGTGAAGCTAAAAATTAAAATACAGATTATTTACTTTCTAAATGTTAGTTAATTGTTAATTTCTAATAATCCGTCCACGCTAAAGTAAAAATGTATAAACACTCATTTGCAAACTTTTTTACTTTTTGAAACACTATAGTCCAAAATACGGCTTTTGATCAAACGGGTCTCATCTAAACATCTCTGCACAACGGGTCAATAGTGCACACAACAATGGCAGTTTTGTTCATTTTTTTTTTAGACATGGTGCTGGGGGTTGTTTAGAACCGGTAGAGTATGAATGTAGTTTGACAAAACTTTAATTGTACGCAGAAGACATGAGTCCTGTCCTCTATTAAAAGGTGCAGGTAACTAAAATACATTTTGTAGAATGCCGATAAGAGATCTGCCTTTTCTAACTTCCAGCTGGATTGGATTTTGGAGTTTAATTGATCCCAGAAAGTAAGGTTTAATATGTTCATAATGGAGATCTGAAACTTTGTTAATGTAATTCTGTAATATGTATACATTATAATAAAGCAGACTATAAGATCCTATATGTACACAATTAACTACAGACCTGCTGGCTAAATCTGTAAGATGAAATTGCCTGTTGAGTTTTTGGAGGAAATTTTAGGGTAGGATGCACTCTCTATGGCCTGAATGATTTGTTGTTCTTGGCCTGTGCTGTCTCTTGTAAAGTTAATTGTTACTGTGATAAATTATTTGTTCATCACATGGGACAGTTGGTTCACAAACATAACTAGCCATCGTTGGCATGCTCTCTAGATCAGGGAAATATTCTTGTGTCTTGTTCAGTAAATATTTACCTGTAAGCACCTTATTCTGCCCCTACAACTTGCCTAACTGGGCAATAAATTGAGGTGTACATATTAATATTTGTGGGGTACATACGTCATTTGTTAGAATTACTGGATCAGGAATTTCAAGTGAATTCAAAGTGAATTTCAAACTGAAGGCCAAAATGTCAAAATCCTCCACGATATTTCCAATTCTATGTAGTGTATAACCCTAAAAGTTTAAAAAGTGCCTTATGCTATCCATATATAATAAGTAGTCTCATTCCTGTAGTAGGTCGTTGGCACACCTGGAGTTGAGAGGTACACTATGGCACAAGCTGCATCTATGTCCACCAATTATTTTATGTGGTTTATATAATTAAAGTGAACTTTTTTGCTCGAGTGATGTGAAGGAAGAGAGTTAAAGGACCAGTCTAGGCACCCAGACCACTTCAGCTTAATGAAGTGGTCTGGGTGCCAGGTCCAGCTAGGATTAACCCATTTTTTTTTTATAAACATAGCAGTTTCAAAGAAACTGCTATGTTTATAAATGGGTTAATCCAGCCTCCAAATCCTCTAGTGGCTGTCTCATTGAAAATCGCAGTGAGAGCACGCAAGCGTCCATAGGAAAGCATTGCAAATGGGAGGATCTGAGGCGGAGAGGAGGAGGAGAGCTCCCCGCCCGACGCTGGAAAAAGGTAAGTTTTAACCCCTTTCCTCTCCCCAGAGCCGGGCGGGAGGGGGTCCCTGAGGGTGGGGGCACCCTCAAGGCACTATAGTGCCAGAAAAATTAGTATGTTTTCCTGGCACTATAGTGGTCCTTTAAGGCAAAAATGTTTTCAAAAAAGTTTTTGTTGGCTAGATAGCCAAGTAGTATGATTCAGAAGAAAGTGACCACGTTAGAAAATGTTTGTTTTTCAATTTGGCAAAACTTACCACTATTCACTATTAACCGAACAATCCCTTTTGATTGCTGTCTTTACTTTTGCATGCCTTCTCCTCATGTTTTGTCTTTATGGGACAGAAGCAGTGGTTTTAGCAGGATACAGACTGGTGCAACAATCCTTCATAAATGACACACGCAATTTATTTGTTTTATTAAATTTTTTTTGGTGTAACGAAATCAGCCGTGGAGATAAGCTGCCCAAATAAACATGTGTTATATACCTTGCTTTGGGGCTTGACTCCGCTATGGAAAACACGTGTTTTCTGATTAGCCACACATGGCTAATGAACCAGCTTTGCTGTTTAGAATTGATGCACATAGCATTGCTCGAGGGTTAAGAGGTCCTTAACTACAGCACCAGACCTCAGCAATGCCTGTGATCTACTCTGAATCGGCATCACTGTCTTGGATCTGATTGGTTTATATAAGAAATTTAGAACATTTCCGGCTCTCCATGGTTCTTGGAAATATCATTAAATTAAATAGGGCAGCGAAAAAGCAACTTTTTCAGTGTTATAAGGCTTCAGTAAACAAAGATTGCAGTATACAAATAGCTGATAGGAAGCTGCATTGGAACTGTTCCCAGAAAGCGATATTAGATTAACTGGTTACATTGCCAGTATTTTATCTCTGAATATGTGTATACCTTTTGTTTAAAGAATAGAAAAAAATATATATTTTTATCATCTAAAATGTCTGCAGTTAACTATTTAACCTTGGGAATTCCTTGATCTCTGTATGGAGGGATCCACATGCATTTGCTATGTGATTAACTTGTGTTATCTGAATTAAGAAACAATAATGCTTCAAATTATGCTTTCTATAAAACTACGTACATAGACAAGGTCATATGATATTATATGACATTTATTGAACTTGTCTATTTTGTTCCACCATTGTATTGTGTGGAATTGGCCAGGGAGGGATGGAATGAGAGGCATACCATTAGTCTGCCATAACAGGCATGATCAACATTTGGCGTATAGGCATGGTCAACATTTGGCACATGCGCATAAGTCCAACATTCATGCTTGCCTGGCTGATGGAGTGTTTTAATGTCCATCTTGTGAGTCCATGCAATACTATAGGTAGAAACAACCAGGGCCGTCTTTAACCCCTTCAGGACGGGTGACGGACGAGGTCCGTCACGCAGGGGAGACCCTTAACGACGGGTGACGGACCTCGTCCGTCACGCGGTAAAATTAACCCCGGATCGCCGCTATCGCGGCGATCGCGGGGTTAATGGTGCTCCCGGTATGCCTCTGCATTGGAGGCATACCGGGAGCACCCGGTCAAGCTGCCCAGCACATGTGCTCGCTCTGACCACAAGTCTGAGCGAGCACATGTGCTCTGTATACTTACCTACCGGCTCCCTGCACTTCCGGGTTCTGTGTGAAGTGCAGGGAGCCGGATCAGTGCTGATCCTGCCCCCTGCTGTTAAAAAAAATAAAGTTTATTTAAAGTGTCCCCCCCCTTACCCATTTTAATAAAAAATTAACCCCTTCCCTGCCAATTGATCACTGACTACAGTGATCAATTGGCAGGGATTACATTTTACTATGATCTGATTTTTTTTTTTAACCCCTGAGGGTTAATTCTTTTTTTTTTTAACCCTCAGGGGTTAAATTAATTAAATTAATTAATTAAATTATTTTTAAATTATATATTTAGATAGCTGGGGTAGGTGGAAGTTAGTGGGGAATTGGGGGATTTGACGTTAGGCTAACTAGGGGTTAACGTTAAAAAAAAGTTTTAAAAGAAACTTTAAAAAGTTAAAAATTAAGCTTAAAAAATGTTTTAATAACATTTAAGTAATAAAAACAAAAAAACACACTTTACCTAGTCCAAATAAAAATTAACCCCTTCCCTGCCAGTCGATCACTGCCTACAGCGATCAAATAGAGATCACAGTATTATACTGTGATCTAATTTTTTTTAACCCCTGAGGATTAACTTTTATTTATTTTTTTAACCCTCAGGGGTTCAATTTATTTAATTAATTTAAATATTTTATAACTATATATTTTGCTAGCTGGGGTGGGTGGGAGTTATGGGAAAATGGGGAATTTACTGTTAGTGCTGCGTACTGCTAGTTAGGGGTTAACAGTAAAAAAAATAGCTTAGAAAAATGTTAAATCTGTAAAAAAGTTTTAAGAAAGTTTAGGAAAGTTTAAAAAAAATTTATAAGCAAAACAAAAGTTTAAAAACTAGTTTTTAAAAGTAAAAAAGTTATAAAAAGTAAAAAAATACATTTTAAAAACGCTCATTACCACTACACCTGGAACAAACTAGAGAAAAAAGTATCCCACGCCAAGGTTCAAAATATGCCTTTTGAATTACCCCAGGGTGTAATCTTTAATAAATAGTATGTGTTTGTGGGGAAGTTTCAATAACCAACCGTCTAAACTATTCCAAATTGGAACATGGACACAGCGTAAAACTTCAAAGTTAGAAAAAAACTGAATGGCTGCGTCTCAAATGCGCCCCTTCAACATCCACATATACCTGGCAAAGGTACATACGGGGGTATTGCTGTACTCAGCCGACATAGCTGAGCAACATATGAAGTATTATACAGTCATAGTACACATAAGGTTTGCAAAATATGCTGCGCAAACTCACTTTGTATGTCAAAAAGGCAGAAAAAATGCTTATTACCACTACACTTGGTACAAGCTAGCGGAAAAATGATCCCACACTAAGGTTCAAAATATGCCTTTTGAAATACCCTGGGATGTCTTCTTTAAGAAATGGTATGGCTTTATGGGGAATTTGGATTATATAGCCTGGTAAAATACTCTAAAATGGGACATAGGCACAGCATAAAAATTCAAAGTTTGAAAAAAACTGGAATGGCTGTGTCCCAAATGTGCCCCTCCGATGTCCACACATACCTGGCAAAGGTACATACGGGGGTATTGCTGTACTCAGCCGACATAGCTGAGCAACATATGAAGTATTATACAGTCATAGTACACATAAGGTTTGCAAAATATGCTGCGCAAACTCACTTTGTATGTCAAAAAGGCAGAAAAAATGCTTATTACCACTACACTTGGTACAAGCTAGCGGAAAAATGATCCCACACTAAGGTTCAAAATATGCCTTTTGAAATACCCTGGGATGTCTTCTTTAAGAAATGGTATGGCTTTATGGGGAATTTGGATTATATAGCCTGGTAAAATACTCTAAAATGGGACATAGGCACAGCATAAAAATTCAAAGTTTGAAAAAAACTGGAATGGCTGTGTCCCAAATGTGCCCCTCCGATGTCCACACATACCTGGCAAAGGTACATACGGGGGTATTGCTGTACTCAGCCGACATAGCTGAGCAACATATGAAGTATTATACAGTCGTAGCACACATAAGGTTTGCAAAATATACTGTGCAAACTCACTTTGTATGTCAAAAAGGCAGAAAAAACGCTTATTACCACTACATCTGGTACAAGCTAGCGGAAAAATGATCCCACGCTAAGGTTCAAACTATACCTTTTGAAACACCCTGGGGTGTCTACTTTAAGAAATGGTAGGCCTTTGTGGGGTAGATTGAATTTAAAACCTGCGAAGATGCTTGGAAATTGCACATAGGCCCAGCGTCAAAATTCAAAGTTTGGTAAAAACGGATATGGCTTGGTCTCCTATATGGCACTGTAGCTTCACAAAATAGTGACAAAGACATTCATTGGGGGTGTATTTTTACTCCAAAGACTTAGCTGAGCATAATTTGGGAGGTTTGAACTTAGTGGCACATATGAAATATACAAAACGCCCAGCAAAAATGCAATCCGTATGTAAAAAATGCACAAAATTATTTTTTTACCACATACTTTGGCATATATTGGTGAAAAAATGGGGGTATGTCAAGGCACAATATGCACCTTATGAGATACCCTGGAGTGTCTACTTTTACAAATGGTAGGCCTTTGTGGGGGTTTTTTGAACAGTCAAACTGTTATAATACCCCAAATGGAAGCTAAGGCTCATTAAATCCATCTCTCAAAATTCTACTGTGAATACTGTAAAGGACAGGTCTCCTATATGGCACTGTAGCTTCACGAAATAGTGCCAAAGACATTCATATGGGGTGTCATTTTACTCAGAAGACTTAGCTGAGCATAATTTGGGGGGTTTGAACTTAGTGGCACATATGAAATATACAAAACGCCCAGCAAAAATGCAATCCGTATGTAAAAAATGCACAAAATTATTTTTTACCACATACTTTGGCATATATTGGTGAAAAAATGGGGGCATGTTAAGGCACAATATGCACCTTATAAGATACCCTGGAGTGTCTACTTTTACAAATGGTAGGCCTTTGTGGGGGTTTTTTGAACAGTCAAACTGTTATAATACCCCAAATGGAAGCTAAGGCTCATTAAATTCATCTCTCAACATTCTACTGTGAATACTGAAAAGGACAGGTATCCTGTATGGCACTGTAACTTCACGAAATAGTGCAAAAGACATACAATGGGGGTGTCATTTTACTCAGCAGATGTAACTGAACACAAAATAAAACTTTGTACAGGAATAGCACACACCAACTTTACAAAATATACACGAGAATTTCTTTGTTATAAGTTTGTGTGCCAAAAACCAAAAAGAACACAATTTTACTCCAATATTTAGCAGAGGTTGGCGGTGAAATGGCTACGTAGAAAGTGTCAAAACAACCTTAGGTAAATAGCCCGTGATGTCTACTTTATATAAATATATACTTTTGTGTGGCAATTTTGTTTTCTTTTATGGCTATTAAGCTTACAAGACAAACATACCAAATTCTAAAATCGCTCCACATTAAAATTTTATTTTACTCCTTGTGCTTTGTGACCTGTAACTACCAAAAAAAACTTAAAATCCCAGACACATTATATATTCTGTAAATCAGAACAAATAAATAAATTTATCTTTAATTACTTTCCTTAACCTGCACTAATTATGCACACATTATTATTGCAAAAACTGTAAAAAAAAACAATATTTTTCATTTTTTTGGCATTTTTCTGTATTTTTTTTATAATAAATAAGCATTTATATATATATATGTTATATCAAATTAAAGCCCTTTCTGTCCTTTAAAAAACAGTATATAATATGTGTCGGTGCAATAAATGAGAGAGATGCAAATTGCAGTTGAACGCAAACAGCAAGAAAATGCAAAAATTGCTTGTGTCATTAAGCGTAAGTCAAGCTTCTGAAGCTGTGTCCTTAAGGGGTTAAGGAGGGGCAAAAGGGGCAGCTGCCCCGGGCCCAGTTACTCCTGGGGGCCCTAAGGCAGCTGCCCCATGGACCCCCTGCAGCACCTGAGGTAATCAGGGGCCACAGCCCTTTAATACTGCTCTGGACCGGGCCCTTGTAATAGGGGGGTTGGCTGAATACAAACACACAGCTAGCCCCTCACACACTGCCCTGTGATCCCTTTTCTTCTCCGTGGCATGCTGGGAGGAAGTGAGGTCAGATCACTTCCTCCTCAGTGCCGCTGGGGAGGAGGCACACACCACACGGAGGAGGATGCAAGCATTGTTGGGGAGAGGGACCGAGAAATCTGATGGCAGACTCCCATCAGCCTGGGCCAACAAGCTCCCACTGGACCCCAGGGAAGCCACCTTTCTGTACCCAAAAGGTAAGGAGACAGGAGGGTGGCTAACTATGTTTTGTTTTTTTGTTTTGCTTATTTCTGATATCACTTTTATTCAAGTGTTAGTGTTTGTAATGTAACACACAGGGAATAAGTACATGTTAAAAATTCTAGAAGAACCTGACAGTTCCCTATTAAATATAAATTTTAAAAGTATTTATTTTAACATATTATTGCATCAAGTGTTATCAAAGGCTGTATACCATTTCCAAATGTCACTTTTGCCAAATTCTGGACCAGGATATGTAAGAACAGAGTTGAGACATTATTATGGCCAAGGTTGCTGGGAGTTGCTGTCCAAGAGCTGCTAGAAGGCAGAGATTAAAATATGTAAATGTACACATATATATATGTGTGTATCTGGCTGTGTTTATGTCCTTGTGTGTATCTGGCTGTGTTTGTCTGTGTGTCAGTGTTTCTGTGTGTATGTGTACTTGTGTGTCAGTGTGTATGTGTTGTGTGTGTGTTGTGTGTGTGTATGTATGTATGTATGTGTCAGTGTGTGTAAGTGTGCATCTGAGTGTGTGGTAATGCATACATCCCAGCATTTTAATGCCAACACAAATACACTCCATCTCTAGCACTGTACACATATACACCCCTGCATTTATACCTTTATGTATGTGTGTATCTGAGTGTGTGTGTGTGTGTGTACATACCTGTGTCAGTGTGTGTGTGTACCTCTGTGTGTGGATGTGCCAGTGTGTGTGTGTATCGAAGTGCTTGTATCTGTGTGTCAAAGGGTGTGTATCTGAGTGTGTATGTGTATGTGCCAGTATGTGTCAAGGTGTGATCATGTGTCAGTGTGCCTATGTGTGTATCTGCGTGTTAATGTGTATGTGTATATGTGTTATAGAAATCACACAACATGCAAACAGAGCCCTGCAAACACAAACATTACATACAAACACACCAGTTTGCTGAAACACCAATACTACACACAAATGTACACAACACTACATCCAAACAACCCCCTGCATGCAAATACAAACATTACATACAAACACATTCCTGTATTAAAACGCTAAAATTATATACAAACACCAACTCTACACACAAAAGTACACCTGCATTTAAAAGCCAACACTACAGACAATCACACATTACTGCATTCAAACGCAAACACTACACACAAGTACACCACTGCATTCCAATGGTAACAGTACATACAAATACACCCCTACATGCACACATACACTCTATACAATAACATGCTGACATTCAATTGCACAAACACTGCTCAAAAATACAACCCTGCAAGGATGGTAGATCCCCACCTGGCATAGCATCGCAGGAGTATTATGACAGATGGGGATCTATCTTTTCTTTACTCTTGTGCTACAGGGCAGGCCTGAATTATTTTTTTTTGCACTAAGGCACTCTCTACATTAGTTTCGCCTCTAGGTTGGGGTGGAGGGAGTGATTGCATGCCCAGGGGGCCCAAGCAGATGCTTGCCCAGGGTCCAATCAATATTAAAGACGGCCCTGGAAACAACCTTCCACTTACTGCACGCCACAGGGACTTTTCTTTTTTGTCCCTAGAAGTGTGACACCAGAGGAAAAAGCAGTGCTTGTCTCTCTGGAGATTTGCAGTATGTTCCCCATGATGCTTGAATACAACTTTTGAAGTGCCATCGCAATCCTGTAACTCCCAATCATGCTACAGTCATGTAAATGAGGAAAGGGGATGAAAGTGAAAGAAATTACTGAATATATCTTAAATATTTGGTTTGTTTGTCCTAAGACAAAAGGAGGCGCTGATGGAACAGTTACCATAACCTTTGATGGAAAGTTCCATATTTTGCCCCGCAATTACTGTTTTCCCCATCTGTATAATATAAACTATTCACCAAAACAGCATTTAGAAGAGGGTATTGTATAAATCAGTTAGAGTTATTTTGGATGATTAATGTTGGAAGCATGGGCTTTTGTGAAACGCAAGGAAATTGAAGAGTGTGGTCTAGTGCTTCTGATGCGGGTCAGGAAGTCCTATAACCCATGGCAGGGTCTCCTAACTGTTCATGGTTCCTTGCAATGTGCTGAATGTAAGCAGGAAAGGGAGTTAATTATGCAATTTGTTATAGAATGAAAGGAGAGCTGGCTTACGGCAAACTGGTCAGTCCTGACTTCATTCTGACATTATAGCAGCATCGTCTATGTAAGCTTACCAGAGAGCTCTCCCTCAGCTATCTTTCTTACCGATGGCAACGAGAGCTGCTAAGAATCTTCTTTACAAGCCCAAACATAAAGATAAAGTTGGACATTGTGTACATAAATGGAGACCCACGATATAAGTCAGCGTAATAAAATAAATGTAAGCTGCTGGTTGTTTTTTTTTTCTGCTTGTTAATTTGAAATGTCTTCAGAATAAAATGTTGTACGTTCTGATACATCTATATTAATTTGAAAGTCTGGGCCTTATTCTCTGAACAGGGTGTTGCTGGACATTGACAAAAAGCTGTGAAAGGTTTGACTAGAAGTTGAAAGATATCACCAAAACTTGTAAATTCTAAGAACGGTGTTACAATGTATCACTGTTTAGTGAATAAATGTAGTCCCTTCTAGCACCAGAAACCAATGTGTCTTAATGTAGTGATTTTGGTGCGTAGAAGCTGTCCCTTTTTATCTATTTTGGTTGAAAACACATCTGTAGAGTTGTCACAGGCATCAACTAGAGCTGCTTTCTCCAATGAAGTTGTTATGGTGTTAGTACATACCTGACATTATCTTGCCTCACGGGGCTGAACCTTATGTTTGGATCAACTGCCGATCTCAGCCCATCACTACCTCCCCATTCAGAATGGTGAATGAAAAAGTCATGTATATTTTTCACTCTCTTTACTGAATTGGGAGCTAATTATAGGCTGAGAGCGTTGGGTCCAAGGTTTCCTGATTGAAAGATCACTAATTAATTGAGTGGAAGTGGAGGAGCTGATCAATTGGATGCTTTGGGAAAACAGTCACTGGTATAACCCCTCAAGGTAAGACTGCACACAAGACTTTCTAGCACCATAACAACATCATTGCAATTAAGTTATTGTCGTGCCATGAGTAGTCTTTTAAGACCTACAATTTCACATTTTCCATTATCACGCAAAGCATGATGATTCCAAATGCTGCTGATGCTCCTCATAGACCATCGTTGTAATCATTGCTAGATGTAATCAGTGCTATTTGATTGGCAGAGCTCAGCATCTACAATGGATTGGGCCATAGGTTATCATATTAATGATCCCAAGGGCAGGAAGACATTGTATCCTGGTATTGGATTAACGTAAAATTTTGATGAATTTATTTGCTTTGAACCCGGGAGATGGGGGAGGTAGCTGAATCGAAATATGTTATTATATACCCTGGAATCAGACATGAATTCAGATTTGAGCAAATGTAGTCCTTAAGCTGGTAGGGGATTTAATTGTCCAGTACCCAGAATCCGTGGCTGAGAGTTGTAGGAACTGGAGTTCAGCAACAGCTGAACAGGAGGTCTACATTAGCCTAGGCCTGATCTATGCAAAGCTACTGATCAAGAGAGTGAGTGTGGATGTGCATTATGAAAAATGCTAAATTGGTTACTTAGAAACTTCAAAGTAGTGTTTTTTTTGTTTGTTTTTTTCAATTTATTTTTTCATAACAAATGCTTCTGCCCCCAAGTTAGCTCCTTGTGAATGCTTTGAGTCTGATTTCTATTTAACCAAAAACATAAACGCGACAGCTTCGGGGATGCACATTCTTTCTTAATTACCAGCAACTTTTGTTCAACCGGAGCAGTCTGTTTAATTGGTTTTGATCATGGTAAATTATAAAATAAGCTTCCCTCCTCTGCCTGTGGCCTGGAGCATTCCAATAAGATGACACTCCTATACCTTCTATGTGACGTAAATCATGATGGTTTCCTTTTTTTATTTCTAATATCTCTTACGTTTCTCACAGTGTTTTCAATAGAAATGCCAAAGCAATATTAACCATGGTTTTAATGAACGGACTCTGCCTGAGGCTTTGTTCGTAAGAGGGAGCATTAGCATTGTGACTGTAACTGTACCAAAAGCGATGCAATGCTAGATGGCCCACATACTGTCAACCTATAGTGTGGAATTAAATTAAATGTTATCTCTTTCTGTCCGTTAATTAAGTGATAGAAAAGAACAGGCTCTTCAGCTACCGACTGAGCATTATGGGATTCGTAGTCCACCGTGAAAAGGGAAAGTGACAAAATGTGGTCATACTCCCCAATCCACTCTCAGCCATCCACACTTCATTCCTCTCATGCTGACACCATCAACTGTATATATCTCATATCTGCTCTACACATAGAGAAGTATTTACAAAATTATCAGTTCTTGACAATCCACAAGGGAATTGTATATTTTAAGGCAAAATAAGCAAATTCTCAAGGTCAGATTGTATTAAATCTGCTTTTTTTTATCTTACATTTGCAATTTAATTAATTTTTTTGAATAAAAGTAAACAAGAAGCTATTTCTTATATATATATATATATATATATATATATTATTTTTTTTTTTTTTAATTGGTTCTGTTTACCTGGTAATAATAGTTTGTCTGATAACAGACCTTGAGGATTCTGTCATCCGTACCATGCTCTTGTTTGTGTCTGAAACCATTACAGGTAACTGGGTGCTCAAGGGTCTCACGGTGAATTGCCCTAGCTCCATAATATGGCTGGTTAGCTCTATGTGAAGTCCAAGTGTTAAACGGATAAAGAGAGAGTGTTCTTGTGTGTTTGTGTTGATTTATTGTGAGAAGGCTAACACTGTGCATATGAATGTAGCTATATCAAAAATTATGTTGGGGAGAATTTGGGAAGACTATGAAAGATAAGTATACATCACAGATGCCTTTCTATGAGTTTCACAGTGCAGGACAGGACATGCAGCACTCAGCACGTGTGTATGAGGTAGGAAACCTAACTAAGGCATTGCTCATTTTTATGTCCCCCAATGCTGAAAACGTGCATGACAATACCACAGCTATGATGTAGAATTACAAGAGATTTTCCAGAATTCTATTCAGCTGAGGAGGGATGGATGTTTCTCTCTGCAATATAATTGGTATAGTAAAGGAGCACTTCCATTATTAATTAAATGAGAGAGAGAGGTGGGTTGTTTCAATTTCTTTACCACTTGTGAATGTTCATACAATATGTAATATTTTCATTCTATCTGACCCTGATGGTGGGGGTGAAGTGGAATGTATCACCACTCCTCTGTCACTCTGACACCTCCTTTGAACCTTGTGTAAACTTTATAGAGCCCTCCGAGAGGTGTGAGAACAGGTGTTCAGTGGTGCAGACACCAAAGGATATTTATTGGGTGATGAAGCCAGAGGGGCCGTCAGCCTATTGTTATGCAAGAGGGCAGACACATCCTTCCCTACATGAAAGAGAAGGCAGGATAGGGGAAACGCTTTATTATCCTCTGTCCGTTTAATAGGTTAGGGGTTTTGTCTAGGTAGCTTTGTATTCTGGGGCCAACACTCTCTAAACATTTTGTAAATCTCATTAAACCACAACTTAAAAGAGAGCAGCGGATTCTACCAAACACTAGAAAACTATTAAATGTTCTTCAGAAGGAAACGTTTAAGTGATATCTCTTTATTTTATATATTCTTTCCCATTAGTTATGCATCGCAATCACTTTCCTGATGTATGTTAGTCTGATTATATTTGATTTCTATAGAATAACTCACAATATCTGTTCCATTTGTTATTTATTTTTAAACATATAATCATTACATTTAAACATGTAACCAGCTTCCCTATCACAGGCCAAGTAACAACCTTCCTTAATACTCTTATTCATTGAATGATTTTTCTTCCAAGCAAACACTCTTTTCCAGATTATCCCATCAGCTTTTTACCTCGACTAGACAAAATCACTTACCTTTCTCCAGCGCCGGGCTCCCTCGGCGCTGGGGACTATCCTCCTCCTTTGGACGTCATCGGCTGAATTCGCATGCGCGGCAAGAGCCGCGTGCGCATTCAGTCAGTCCATAGGAAAGCATTCTCAATGCTTTCCTATGGACGCTGGTTTCTTCTGACTGTGAAAATCCTAGTGAGGAGCGCCTCTAGCGGCTGTCAATGAGACAGCCACTAGAGGCTGGATTAACCCATATGTAAACATAGCAGTTTCTCTGAAACTGCTATGTTTACAGCGGGCAGGGTTAACCCTAGGTGGACCTGGCGCCCAGACCACTTAATTGAGCTGAAGTGGTCTGGGTGCCTATAGTGGTCCTTTAAAATAAACACACTACCTTAATATGTGCCCTAGTGAAGTAGATACACTGTTTTTATTAGGGTTTGGTTCACTACACTTCTGTATTCTGTGCGCACATGTACTCGCTGTTATCTCTTCATTCTCATTTAGCCCCCCAAAACCTCTTTCAACTCCAAAAAGTATCCCCCTTTGCCATTACTCTAGCACTGTTCAAGATCCATACAAAGAGAACGCATCACCAACTTACCCTTTCTTCGGTTCTCACATGGCCCTGCCTTCTATAATTTAAATTTTTTTAAATTTGCTATTGAAAGACGTATTTGCCTGTTTTCTTTCCTTCCTTCGAATAATTGACCCTAACCCAGTGTACCTCATTAGTGTTTTCTACTGAACTTCAGGACCATCTCTTAATTCACTTCATTAAATCCATTTTGTCCATTGAATGTGTCTGCTGTTAGCATTGTAGGTTCCTACATTATATCAAATTACTGTCCTTCTTTTCTCCAATATTTATTTTGCTTCTGAATTACAGAATAACATTTTTTTTTCTTTATTTGTATGATTAAGATCTTTTTCAATTTGAGTAACAATCTTTTACAACTAACAGATCTCCATGCAAGGAGAATAAACAGCTTTTGTCACTTTGTTACAAACATAATGTAGCATATTTGACTTTTTTTTTTTTTTTTTTTTTTTAAGAAACCCATGAGTTGATTAAGTGATAGGCTTTGCAGTCTGGTCTTGCTTGCACGAAAAAAAAGTTATTTCTTGCGATTACACGCCAGATAACTTTCTCCTTGTGTTGTTGGGTGTTGCAGTTTGGCCTGTATTAACTGGTATATGGGATATGTACAGAGGGTTGCTGGCAGTTGTGTCACAACTGTGGTAGTGGGAGTTTTGCCCGGGTCAGTACCTCGAGTATTGGTATGACTCTGGGTGTATATGTGTGTATGCGGTATGTGGTGATGGATTGCTGGTTCTTGATGGGTGTAATAAGTGGTGATATTTGGGGTTATCCAAGGGGAACCTGATGGTAAGTCTACAATGAGGTGGGATCAAGGCTTGTGTAGTCGATGTCATGATGTTTATAGTCCACCTTCATGGTTTTACGTATGAGTTTGTAGTTCCTTCTGAGTGGTTTGTTTGTTTTTAATTACTCTATTACGTATTCCGGTTCTAATGACTAATTGATTATCTGATTTTTTAAAAAATTTTTTTTTCATCCTTACATGCTTATCAAAGTTAATTCAATGTTAATTCAGTAACAAAGGTATTCAAGGACACCTGCCCTGTGTCAAATGCTAAGATTGTGTTGTCCTATTTCTCGGTCTTCATGCGCTCTTTGTATATGAGTAGTTTGCTCTGCTGAATAGGAATTTGTGATCCTATTCTGGTCCAGTATATGTGCTATCATTGCCTCGGTCTCCTTTTTTGGTTATTCCTCATCATTCTTTCCACTTATAGTATCACACAAGAATCAGTCCTTAGCTCTCTTCTTATTTTGCAAAACTCTCTACCTTAATTTATGCTTCCAAACACCGCTTACATGTGGGTGTTCTTTGGCGCGCTCATGTCTTTAAAGTGACAAAACAGGCACCATAACAGCTTCACCGTAAATAAGTTGTTATGGTGCAGGGAGATTCCCAAATGTCCACTTACCTCAATGGGTTAAACCGGTAACAAATGGTTTGATCTAAAACGGTTGAATCTGGAACGCTAACGCCATGCCCACAAACATCAGAAACTCCAATGTGTTTGCATTGCCAGTGAAACCAGACTGCATCATAGCACCAAACTGTTACATTAAGATATAGTTATTTTGCTGCATATTGTGTACCTTTAAGGACATTCTCAATGTCTCTTTAAAGAATCTCACAAATCATTCCAGCTGAGTAATTTGGGAATTGGTTCCGTCACCTGACCTAATTACTGTTCATAAGAGGAGGGAGTATTCTCTCCTCCTTTGGTGACATCCATTCTGTCTGCATTTATTTTTTTTACTCTATTTACATGGCTTTAAATGGGATTTAGCATTCAGTAACCTCTTTTTTCCTCTAGCACGCATATAGAAAGGTCAGGCTTTGTTATCTTTTCCGAGACGTCCTGTCTGTGTACACCTGCATGGCATTGTACTCTAGAACCATGATAACAATGTTATGATCCCAGCTTCCTTTGCACGCACTTGGGACGACTGCATTCCTGCTTGTTCTGGAATTCCCAACCCTTTGCGTGCCTGAATGGAATGCAATGCTTGGTAGGTTCTGGGGAAAGATGGGCCAGTCTATACCTGATAAGGTTAAATGTTTCATTCTTTTACCATACAGACTACTTGCATGATGTCTATCCTTAAGCACATCTCTTTTCATTTGGTGTATATTTTGCAAGCTTATGCTATCACGGCATGCTATTAACTTTTTCAACTCCAGTTGTCATTGCAGTAAAATAAGCTAAATTCCTTTCCCATGGCACTGAAATAGTTAAAACACGAAAGAGCAATTGCAAAATTCCATTACATTGCAATCCATCTCAATTGCAAGCCTCACATTGTAATGCAAAATCTGTCAATTCACAGTTCTTGCTTTTGCACACACACATATACGTGTGTGTGTGTGTGTGTGTGTGTGTGTATGCAAAAAAATATACATTTTATTTTTTAAAGAAAAGACTTGCGTGAATATGAAAGCCGGTTTATATCTGTCTATGTAAAAATTGTAGCGGCCCGTACTCTTACCAAGAACATGTAGTGAATTTGGATAATCACAAGCTGACTTAAGTTAGGAGGCGTTAGATTTGGCAGTGGGAACGCCCTGTTCAAGATTTAGTGCCAAAAAAGGGAATGTTTTTCGCTTTCAATTGCCAAAATTACCTTTCCATCTCATCTTAAAAAAAGGACCCATTATATATGGTTCATATAACACTCTCTGTGCTATCATTGTATATACAATTTCACAGCCATCTTCACATGGAGCAAAACAATATCCAAGAATAACATTGCATGTTAAGGAAGAGTCACTGCCCCCAAGAACTAGCAATTTAATTGGCGGAAAGAAAAGGGTCCACCTCTCCTGTCTTATTTTTGTCCAGATTAAACGCTCTGCAATTATTATTTTATTTTAACCCAGAGTTTTATTTAAACCATCTTTTAGTTTTGAGCATATTTTTGTGTTTGTTCACTTACCCATAGTCCTTTCAGCTTTTAAAACAGTAGCCCAGCTATCTGTATCAACCTTGTGAGCAAATTACTACAAGCACTAGCATCAGAAAATCGTAAGTATAAATGGTATTAGTCTTGACACAGACCTGTGGACTAGAAGCATGTGTGATGGCAAGCATAATTTATGGCTTACAATAAAACACATTTAAAAAGTCAATTGTATCTCAAAGCACTTTAATTCCTTTTCTAAATTTATAGAAATAAAGTGCAAATTTAATAAGCTGTTTTCCACTCCGAAGTGCTTCCAACAACACCACAAACAAACAAAATGCAAACGTAGTGCAGCTCTGCTCTACATTTACATGGCTTATAAGTAAGTCAGTGCATTTTTAATAAGCGGACACTTGGTGACCATAAAACTAAAGGATTATTTTTGAAAAAAAATAATTTTGCATGACTATAGTGATAACCACAATTATACACAAATAGCAAGGCCCAAAATATGATAATGATAATGGTTTGGTGGAACATAAATGGTATTGCTGTCAATGTTTGAGACTTGGGGAAAATTCCTCCTACCAGGATGTACTACAGTCCTGATGAGGATTCCGAGAAAAGCTAAATCCTTCTGAATGTGAGACATTGCACTTTCTGTCAATGAAGAATTTGTTAAATATGCCAGCTTCTGTTCATAATCAAACTCCTTTATTGGAGTGACCAGAGGTGTCCTTGTTCCTTGGACTCTGAAATAAGCCATAGCAGCACTTGCTTTTTTTGCCTGACATCTTACGGACAGGTTAGCACTCAGATTGTCTCCTCATATTATGGAGACCACCAACAATGCAACAGTTTATAGATCCACCATCATTAAATACCAGGTAGATGCAAAACTATAACATTACCATCATCTACATTCCAAAAGTTGCAGACTTTTATATAAAATGTATTATCTATGTAATAAAAATATCAGGCAGGATGCTGTCATAATAGAAACACTCTGGTTCTTGTTCCTTGTAGTGACACTGCTATCGTTTTGAAAGCAGTCTATTGAATATATACAAACATTTCCTCAATGTACGCTGTTGTTATTTAATACTAAAGATAAGAATTGTGTTTTCTGTCATTTATACAGCTCTCAAAGAAAATAGCTCATATTGTACATTTGTCATCTGACAATCACAGATAGCATGGGTTTGTCAGGCTTGCAGTGGCAATTTAACTTTTAAGTGGCTAGTAAAATAGGATTAGAAATTTTAATTAAAAAAATAAAACAAAAAAGCCCCGGGCCCAGATGGCCTCACTAATCTTTACGATAACACCTTCAAAACCACATTAAGCCCCTACGTCGCACGAGCCCTTAACTTCGCTACAGCGCAGGGCTCTGTGCCAACGGCTCAACTGGAAATTCCTACACGAGACGCTACATAGGTACGGTTTTCCACCCACCTTCCTGAATATGGTCCAAACACTTTATAGCTCGCCGTCGGCCACTGTTCTGAACTCTGGCTTCAGCTCAAATACATTTAACATATCGAACGGCACCTGATAGGGTTGCCCCATCTCCCCACTACTCTACGTACTAGCCCTTGAACCGCTGGCCATAGCCATTCGCAACAACCAAGACATACAGGGGATCACCATAGGGGTGAAACTTTTCACTTGCCAATGGCTAGTAGAGATTTTGAGGTGTGTGCATGCAGACAGATTATGTGTGTGTATGTATGTATGTATGTATGTATGTATGTATGTATATATATATATATATATATATGTGTATATGTGTGTGTGTATATATATATATATGTGTGTGTGTGTGTGTGTGTGTGTGTGTGTATGTGTGTGTGTGTATATATATATATGTGTGTGTGTGTGTGTGTGTGTGTGTGTGTGTGTATATATATATATGTGTGTGTGTGTGTGTGTGTGTGTGTGTGTATATATATATATATAGTTTTTAATCACAATTTTTCCCCACCATAACTTATTTGGGAGATATATATATATCTGTGACTGTCAGATCACAGACTTAACAAAGCAGCTCTTTAGTTTAGTTGAACTGAGCTAAACAACCAGAAAGTAACCAGATTAATTGTCTGACAGCCATGGGAGTTAAAGCAGCACGGTCACAGTCTGTTGACTGTTCTATAGTACCCCTGTACATCTAATTAGGAATAATGTAACCACACTGTTGCAATCTGAGTGTTTTTATTGTTTTTTACGTTTAAGAATTTGTTTTTTTTATTGTATTTTTCTCTATATTTATGTATTGATCTTAACTTGTTAAATGAAGAGATAAATATAAGTGTGTATTTTTAGAAGTCCATATGAAATATCTGCCCGTAATGTTTTATAATTTGTTGTAGTTGATCTGACAAAACTTTTCTTTGTAATCAGGGACTTGAGCAGTAAATGGTTCTGATTAAACCACTTTACACTGAGTTGTCTGGCTCCACTTGTCTTATCATGATATGCAAACATGGCAGTGCTCCCTCTACATTGTCTGTATATTCTTACCAGATTGACATCTGTCCCCATTCTAAATGAGCTAAATGAGCTTTAAATGCATTTCTTCAACTTGGTAGAAACTTGGGTTAATTCAGAGCATACCGTATATTGCTTTAGTTGAAATGAAATGAAATAGAATGTTGGACGAGAGACCAGCAGTCGCCAATGGCACTTTTTTTTTTTTTTTTAACAGCATATTAGGCCAAAACCTATCAAATTAATAAAATTGAATTGGTGTCAGGAGAGTGCCTTGTGTAAGTTTTTGTTTTTGTATTTTAAATGAAAAGTGTCCATGTAGCTCTTGATATCAAAGACAATTAAAACCAGACAAGATTCTGACACTTGGCCAAAGCAGCTGCTGGATCACCATTAACATGGGCACATGGCTTGGTGGCTATTTCCCTGTTAATTAGAACACCGGCGTGCTAAACAGGAAGTTTCTGTAATTTGCTCTTGCAGATGGCAGTGCAGAAACCTTGGCTACAGGAACATAAATCTTTTATAGCCGCCCTAAATTAAGTTGGTGGCAGCAGTAGGGTCACTTGTAAGTGGCTGTGTCCGTGTTCAAATAATAGGTGGTTTGTAATAACACCCTTTTCAAACTAAATCATGATTTTTACCTATTGAGTACCAATGGAGTCAATGGTGCATTTCAGAGCATTTTAGATGGTTAAGCCTCAGACAATAACATGCTTTCAGGTGAGTGTGTGGAATTTAAATATTAGGCACATGAACTTATGGTGAAAAGCTCTTTTGTTTATCTCAGAATTATTGTTGTGTTTGTGTGAGATTATAAAGTGTTTTAGATTTGTCGTTGGATCAGGACCAGTTTTGTTTTGTTTTAAATTTTGTGATGCTAAATAAGCCTTTAATATTTTGGTCCAAAATGTGCATCCGTTGCTCCCAAGGAGGACATACATAAATTGCAAAGTCTTAGGTTTATGCAGGTATTGATCTGGATCTTAAAGCTCATTTTTGTTCTTGTTAAACAATTAAATTGGGTCAGTTTTCTAAGTGTGTGTGTATGTATGTATGTGTGTGTGTATATATATATATATATATATATATATATATGTATGTTTACTTTTCAAAACACGCATTAACAATAAACAAGATTTATATTGGCCTATTTGAAGCAAGTTTTAATGACCCAAGTTAAAGCTTTGCAACCTTGACTTTAATTGGGTCGTTCTAGTGTTTCTTTAGTGGGTAAGCACCCTTGTGAGCATTTTGTTGGAAGTAGAACATGTAATTAGGTAGTAAAACTTTTGCAAGCTTTGTCTTAGTTTAAAATGCCAGCCAACACGTTGAACAGATTGTGACAATGATTTTTTGATCAGTGATTTGATTCCTACTTACAATGGTTGTTCTGATTTATTCATGAGTAAAATTCTCACTGCATCTGCAATCTAAAAAGGTCTTCCTTTATCTCCCAATTATTACATATTTATGACAGATGAAAAATACAAGGCGAGAAAAAAATTAATTTTAGTGCAGACTTATTAAATCTCTCAAAAGATAAAATAGATGATGTAAAAAAAAAAATCACTAGTTACTTGTAAGCAAGTTATTTTTTTTTATTTTATTTGAAAATGATATTAGTTTTCAACAGTGTAAGTAAACAGAACATTGAAGTGGGTTTGAAGTGGTCATGGTGCCTGGAGTCTGTATGTGCAGTGTTTATCTGTGAAATGCTGCACATACAGAGTTTAAGCCCTTTTCTGCCGGTTTTGGAGTTACACGTCCGGCGGCAAAGGGGTTAAAGTGTGTGTGTGTGTGTGTGTGTCTCTGTCTTACTGTCACATTTCACAGCATCATTAGCCAGTCTAGAACAAGACTTAATTCTTTGCACATGTCTGTACGCAGTGCTCATTTATTGGCTGAGAATGGTCAGCTGGCACTCTCAGCCAGTCAATGAACAACAGGATTGGCATGGAAGCCGGATGTCATAATTCTGCCTAATGAGAGCCTGAGTGTCCTGGTGGTACACAGGTAAGAGGGCAAACTGTAAAACGATTTGCCCCATTACCAGAAAATGGGCTAGGTTATCTTCTAGCACGTCTCCCAACCGTCCTGAATTCGGCTGGACAGTCCCAATTTTCTGGTCCAGTCCGGCCTTAGTTCCCTGCTGTCCAACTTTTGGGGACACTAGGAAACTTCCCCCAACAATCAAAGCATAATCGCATTAATAGAGGATCTTGCGCTACGATTAGGGCACAGTTTCAGTGCTTCCTGCAAGGTCTGCCCTAGTTGAGCCTGCCTGCATGAGTGACATTAACTTGAGTGGGCACGCCCCTTTTCTGGTGGGTCTGCCCCTTTGGGGTCTAGCTAGTGATGTAATTGTGTCACTGGACTTTCCCTTTTAGCTACCTGGCGTCGCGATTCTCGGCAAGCTCAAGTGGTTACAATGTTTGGAGTAACCTTTTAACACTAAGCACAAAATATAAAAAATAAATACAATAAAGCCTTAATGAAGGAGTCTACAAGGGCATTAGTCAAGTTAATTTTAATAAAGAATATCTACAGTATGTGTGTTTGTGTGTGTGTGTATATGTATGTATATATATATTATAAATGCCTTCTTGAGCACAGCTGAACTGTAAATGTTGTATATATTTTATCTTCTCTTTAGTAATCTGTAAATGCGTACAGTTACCCCCTTCTTTGAACTAATATCCCGTGCCGACTTTTAGGATTGTTAGTTAATGGGATATGTCGCCCATAAATATTTCCTTAGCCAAGGTTAACCAGGTAGAATAAATCTGACACGTAAGGTGTCAAATATAGAGAATACAATGCTGGTTGTGGCTCTCGAATCTCATGGTAAGGATTGATTAAATAGATTATGATATCAACGTGTTGTCTTTATTTTTTTTTCTTCCAGGGAATGTCTCCGTTCAACAAGAACAGTGGTCTCCCAAATATCACCTTCCGATACGATAGTAAGTTTGTAGCACTCTTGTGTACGTGTAGCTATAAATTGTCAATCTAATTCAATTTAAAGTCTGAATATATTAAGACTATCGCTGAGTTTGTTTCATCAATATCTGATTCCAAGCGTAAAATGTAGGTAACCACACTGTCCGTTTTTTATTGGAATGTTAGTTCTGCTCTTTAATGCCACTAATTGCAATAATTCAAATAAAATTCAGGGCAGTCTGTGCCACACTCTGCATAAATGGAAAGGGCTTGTATCATTTTAGTAGCCATGTATTGTTGATGTGCTAGAGGTTTCCTGCTGGTTTGAATAGATATGGCCTTTTAATATCATAAACGTAAATACCAGGGTCCATGCTGCAGTTGCATATAATGCAAGAGGGGAACACAAATGGCATGCAATAACAATAAGGACATTATTGCAGTTATTCTTATTATATACTTTTTGAGTTGGTGTTTCTCTCCTCCCCTGCCCACAATAAAAAAATAAAAATAAAAAATCACCATGTGTAGGATTAGACTAGGGTGTGAATCAAGCTTTTGTCTGCTTCATGTTTCTAAACTTTAATCTCGCTCACTAAAATTCTTTCTCCCCTTTCCTAGATTGCACATCTTCCTTTAATTTTGTGGGAAAACATCTGATTGCTGACGTCCAGAACATCTCGATCAGTCAGTACGCATGTAATGACCAAGTGGCAGTGTCTGTTCTCTGGACTCCAAATGCTATAGGTAAAACTTCAAAATATTCTAGCCTAGTGTAATTTTTTTTATAGAACAAATTAAAGACTTCTGTTACAAGTCTGGCAGCTACTCTAGGGCTACTGAATAGTGTTTAGAAATATCTGTAACACCATAATAAAGGTTACTTTCAGAGTTGGTTTCATATTTTAACTTGATTCTTTATATATATTCTCTAACGTTAGGGGTTACCTGTAGCACTTCATTTAGCATTACATTTTGCCCCATACTAAACATTAATAGACCACTTACATTTTCTTTGTCCCCAATACTGTATAACAAGCTGGGCTACTTCTGTTCAAACTCCAACCATCCCTCTAGTAGCCAAAACTGGTAAGTCACAGTTCATCAAACCTGTTCTTGTATAATATAAATGGTATTTATAATGCCAGTACTCACTTTAAGATGGCCAGGGTGTTTTATATTGTTTGGCCCATTTCCCTGACAGCGTTAATAGAGGTAAATATCAAATAAAGATGCTAATGCAGTGCAACTCTTTTGTGTTGTAAATAATATTAATGTATTCTTATGAAATCTATACATGCGAATAACATTAATAGTTTATATCTTCGTCAGGAGGAGGGACAAGTATTATACAGTTAAAACTCTTGCTTTATAATGTTTTATGTGGTTTCCACCCACTCTTTGTGCAGTTATGAATTATAAGCTCTTGTGGCTATTTATGGGGTCTGTAAAACATATTTTTATGAGAAACTGAAACTTGGGAAGGGAAACTAATTTTGCCTCAAATTTTTATTGCACTGTGAACGTAGAAATCTGAAACATGCATTTTGCGTGCCTGCTCTTCTCTTCTATTTTAGCATTATTACCCCTTTTTAAAAAAAATTCAAAAAAAATAAAAAAATCACACATCTTTTTAAAAGTACTAACTGCACCGCTCTGGAATGTTTTATTTAACACAACTCAAGCTTCAAATATAAACGGTTTACTACTCCATTATTGATTGGAAACGGACACTTAAAATCTTTAACCTAACATAGTAGTGCATTACGTTTGCAAATATATATGTTAACATTGGGAATTTTTAAAATATTAGGCAATGGGGAAGCCATTCTACTTTGTGCAATTTACTTCCTGCGTGTCTTTCACTAATTTCCAACTCTGGTGGAGCTGCTATCAGTAAATTTTAAAGTAAATTGAGAAATACTTCAAAATTTCATGCGTATGTATGATGTGAAGATTTTTAATTTATCTGTAGATGTCGGCTTTATTTAGTACGTGCATATTGCTAAACACCAGGGACTTGCACACAATAGTTTTTAACAGAGAGCAGGTAGGGCTATGGGCCCAGAGGAATTCACAGGCTGGGGGTTATGGGCTATTCCAGAAATTAATCCTTTTTCAATGTATAATGCTCTTGCTGGTGGTCCTCTGGATTTCTCAAAAGGTTAATGCTTTTCAGTACATGCAAGTCAGCGTTGCAGCTGTGAATTCTCAGGTAACAAGAGGGACCAGGGAAGCTCGTTTTCAAGATCTGCTAGAACAAGCGTCTCTCTTGTTCATTGAGCTAGGCATTGTAATCAGTCCAACTCACACAACGCTCTATGTAGCCAGGATCCACCTGTACATTGTCTTTGTTCATTGTACCAAAAGGGGGCACACCCTGCAATGCTTCCACTACTCTACTTCTAACTGATCCGCAGACAGAATTCCACTTCTAAAAAGCTCTGTGTGAACATCCAAAACTGCAGTCCTTGGTTATTCCGTTTTATTTATTTCATTAAGGGTTAAAACCACCAATACACTATTGATATTTGCACTGAAGTGTAGTGTTAGTCTGCCATAATTAAGGAGTAGCTCTCCAGCTATGAAGAGACTGCAAGTCCCATGATACTCTGTGGTCAGACTAAACAAAAAGGTACAGTGTCCCCAGTTGAGTTGTAGTAGATTAATCTAAACTTGTGGAACTAACCAAGTTTAAAATGTTTAGTAGCGGTTTGATTTCAGGAGCAGTGCATACATTTTATACATCCTTTGCTTTGTTTGCTTCCGCAGGCATCGAATACCTGAAAGGATTCCGCGTTGTGTTGGAAGAGCTGAAGTCAGAGGGGAGACTTTGTCAGCAGATGGTGCTAAAGGACCCTAGACAGCTTAATGGCACTTTTAAAAAAGTTGTAAGTATTTATTTTATTTTTTTTAAATCCATGGTTTTAACCTCTTTCGTTTCTTGTCTCAAGAATAAAATATTATTTTTGAAACTAACTTTCAAATATCACATCAGTCTGCCAAAAATGATGGGGGTTTATTAGGTAACAGCAAGTTATGATAAGATTAAACGCGCTAAAACGAATACAAACATTTTTATTTTTTATTTCTTTTATTTTTATTTTTTTTCTTTTATTTTTATTTTTTTAAAAAAAGAAAAGAAAAAAAAAGGGGAATCTCATAATTAGCGAAATCAAGACGTAAATGAATAATGTGTGGGGAAAGAAAACACATTAAAATTTTTCAATAGATGTAACCAACTTTTTTATAATCCACATATAAGAACCTGCAAATGCCCCACTTCATTGTATTTTGAAAGATAAGTTGTTCTTTAACTGCATGCCAGCAGGGAGCTAGATCCGTCTTCCAGTTTCTAACTACTATCATCTTGACTTCAGCCTAAAATATGTACAACAATCATTGAGGAGGGATCTAGGATTTTTTGAGAATGTAATTGTAGTAAAAAGACACTAGGGTGACATGATACTGATTAAATGAAGCAAAGTCTAGATTTTAATATGAATATCATTCCAAAAACGTTGCATAGGTTGGAATCCCACCATATGTGCAAAAAAAAAAACCCCTCCTTTCTGAACACGTATCCAGTATTCTCTCTTCTTTTTATTATAATCTTTTTTCTGTTTGTTCATTTCTTTTTAGGTATTGGAAACCCAACCATTTATGAACCTGAAATTTGAAACTGATTACTTTGTTAAAATTACTCCATTTCCTTCTGTTAAAAATGAAAGCAACTACCATCCATTTTTCTTCAGGACACGCAGTGAGTATTTTGACTCTTTAAATTGCTGCGCTTTCAGTTATTAAAGTTTTAAGATTCAATGCTACATAATCTAATGCTATATAATCTGGTGAGTTTATTATTTATCACATTTCACCGAACATCACAAGTGTGTATTAGAGCTGTCTCTGTCATATACAGGATCACTTTGCACCTTTTTTGGGGGGACTTGATAAATATGGCACTTCGTGTTTGATTCCATGGCTCGGACGCTACAAAAAAAAAAAAAGGATTCGTATTTTTCTCTTTTTTGACAAAAACCTATTTTAGATTGGAAGTTTGTTGATAAATTCCAATTATTTTATTCCTTTTGGGTCTATATAGTAATTCATTCACAATGAACAAAATTATCCTTTTTATGATAGTTTTTTTTACTGTGGATTTTTGCATTCTGTTGCTTGCGTTTGTACATAGACTTAGCTTGCTGTTTATTTTTTTATGTTTGTTTCCTACATCAACAAACGTCTGCTACTGTAAATAATAGTAAGTGTAGTATAGGTTTCTGTGCATAAGAGTCCGTTGTCCATATTGAGAATGCAAGTTTCCCGTTTCTAGCCGATTCAAATAATGGCTGGGATCATTGGAAGGGGCCACTGTGAGGTTAACTGAAGCACGGTCTTTCTAAACAAGCCAAGTGTCTGCTAAATAAACAGTGCAGGCCCCAGTGATTTAATCACAGAAGGCCTAAGGCATGAAGAGTGTACACTCATCTGCCAGACTTTTACCACTGGCCACAGTCCAATCTTTAAACTCATCCTTTCCACAAGAATGGAAGAAAACTTTGGCAAGTATCTGTTCTTTCATCTTAAGAACATATTGTTCTCTTTTTCCTCCACAATAAAACAAAACGCTTAATTAAAACTCTGAGCACAGGTAATAGGCAGTGAGAGAAAAACCGTAAAGAGAACCATGTTGTAATTATTTTATAAATGAGCATTGCACAAATACCCAGAGATGTTTCTGTCTGTCTGTCTTTAATCCTGCGTTTGTACACTCCATATGTCCTGTTTTTAAAAGTTTTGCTTCTATGTAATCTAAAAGGAGAAAACAAATTTTATATATGTGTTAAAATAATATAAATTATGCATGGATAATTATTCTGTTCACACAACAGCTATGTATTTTGTTACATTTAGCATAATGTAATGTGTTATTCCCCCCACCCCCCGTCCTGCATCTGGATAGGATACATGCAACAGATTCTACTGCTCTGCGTGTATGAGTGGGATTTAAGACTGCCCATCAAGTAGAAGTATCACTTGTAGAATATAACAGAACTTGCTTTTTACTAATGAAGTTTAACTGCCGAATACAACACTTTGCCTGCTCTTAAATTGTTGCTTTGTAGCTCATGAGGAACACGAATAAAGGCAAGGTCCATGTAGGTGTCAAAGCTTTACAAAACTGTGACAATTACAAATAATTGGTAATCAGGTTTTCTTTTAAGGAACTTGTGTTTTAATGTTCAAGGGACACTGTAGGCACCCAGACCTCTTCAGCTCATTGAAGTGGTCTGGGTGCTGTGTCCCTTTTGCACTCAGTGCTGCAATGTTTACATTACGAGAGATAGTGCCAGAAATAGTTTTGTATTCCTGGCACTATAGTATCCCTTTAAACTAAACGTTGTAATAATTGAGGCATCTCCCTATTAGAGAGAATTAATATTCCCCAGCGTGGAGATATATTAGGGTGTATAAAGTATTGTGTATATGTATGGTGCTTCATTTAATTTCCAGTGAGCAGACAGCCCCTTTCCACTGAGGCTGTTCTTGTAGAAACAATATTGTTGGATGCTGTGATGCCTGTAAAGAATGGATACTGAATAATCACCGGCCAGCTCCATGCATTTTTAAACCCCATTCACCAAATATCAGTAGAAATTTAGAAACCATTGAGATGTGCAGGATGGTACATAGTCATCAAATCAAATCCATGTATATTGATCTGTGTGTCTTAAACAGAATGAGATATTACATTTAATGAGGCTAATGCTTTCCCTCTCTTTGTGTAATTCCAGCTTGTGAGACATTGTTACAACCGGACAGTTTAACCTGCAAACCATGTAAGTAATCTATTTTATACCAGATTCTACAGAAGGGACTGAGACCAAATGGATCGTAACCAATCTCTACTTTGTTCACAGATTGGAGGCCAAAAAATGTGACTGTGACTCAACAAGGCATCAGCATTCAAGTGTCCTTCGACCACGCTCCCTACTCCTTTGGTTTTCATAGCTATCACGTGAATTATAAGCCTAAACATGACTCTTCCTTTAAACAAAAGATCTGCAGACAGGTATAAATATCTACTTGTTGCCCATAGTGTTCTGACTGTTTGTGTGTAGAAATACCAATGATTAAGCGCATATAGCTGCTCAATGTCTCCAACACTTTTTGGCAACATGGCTGTGGCACTGAATTTGGTTCTTGTTTTTATGAATGCCCAAAATACAAAATAAATTAAAAATCACTGTTTTGTAGATCTACACCAAATGACAACATGCATGCATTTAATTCCACTTTTTTTATTGGAGTTGTAACTAAAACCAGCTTGTAAAGCTGCAGTTCTTTTGTTTGTTTGCCTTGGCAAATCCTCTAACACTGCCCATACTTTGTGGCTTTTCAACCACAGACTTCACAATGCAGCTCAAAACAAGTTTTTGTAAGGCAAGTGCTGCCTCTTGAGTTTAGCTTTACTGAACTAACCAGACCAGGAAGTAACAGGGCCGGCTGTCTGACAGCCAGATGGGGTGTAACCGGGTTAATTTAGAAAATTGTCAATTTCTATCGAAATCTGCACCTTTTTGAAAATGGAAAAACCGTGGACACACTCTTCACACATAAAGCTTTTCAGCAAGTAGGGATCTGGAGTGTCTCTTTAAGACGTTTTTTTCAATAAAAATTGTAATAAAGTTAATTGAAAACCAAACTTCAGAATCTAGGGTAAAACATCTGAGATCGAAAAAACAAACACACATCCAGCTCTGCTATAATTATATCTTGCCTATTGTAGCCTGAATTTCTCAATTTACTACATTCCAGAGATTTCACCATTTTAAACTCCATTGTATTAAGAACAAAAGCTGGCCGTGCTTTCCACAAGGCAAAGTACCTTTTTAAATTAGTATATAAAATATTCATAAATCACCTTACAAGTATGTTATCACGAAAATAACTCAAATGCTCGTTTCCAACTGTTAACAGCACTTAAACTACTGTGTGGTTTCCATCGACCTATCTTGTTTTCTCTATAGATTTGTAAATTTTCCTTAAATTTGATTATTTTATAGAACAGTAGTTTACAGATTTGCACAATATAAATTCAATCTAAAACACATTTCTAAAAGAAAAAAGTTATTCATTACTTTATTTGTTTCGGTTTTAGCTCTACTTTTAAAACTGTGTGTTTTCTATAAATTGAAGGGCTTTAACTACACAAGAACCTTCGTTGAAATTTAAACCAGACCGACATGTAAAGCAATTTGAAAGGGGGCAGCAACATGGTTCTGCTTCTATGTCAAGATATTTGGTCTTGGAGGTGGAAGGATTAACCCATTTCTGTATGTTAATCCTACTTATAACCATATAGCTAATTTCTCCTCCCTTACTATCACTGGTTAACGTTTTGCACAGCACATTAACCCACGATTGCCAAGTGCGAATCGGACAAACAGAGAGAGAAACATCTCTGAAAATGAAAACATTTTGACAAAATTAACACAAGTTCATTCCTACGTATTGGATCATAAAACAGGATTGTCAAACAGCATTGTGGGTCATCTCAGTGGAAAATGCACAGCACCATTCTCTATGGACGTGGCTGTGTAGGAATAATAGTCCGTAGAACTTTGGCAACGTGGTGTGCTGAAATCATAAAATATTCTCCACTCCAAACTAAAAGGCAGTGTGCAGAGAGTGTGAATTTTTTTTTTATTGCTTTCATTTCATTTAACAAAGCCCTGGTGTTCTTTCCTTTCTCTATTCTGAGGATTGGATGTCAGAGGCAGTCAGTCCAATAACTGGAAACCGACTGAGTAAGCCAAAGCAGGCCGGAAGCTGTGAAACCTTTTGTCTTACAGTTCCGGTATTCTAAAAGCTCTTGTGGTTTTACCAACCCGGCCTTGTCTTGGCTACATTCACTCGCAGGGGAAATATCATCCTCCATTTCCAAGGCTAAATTTTGGGCCGATTTCATAGCCGAACTGAATTCCCATTGACCTCATTGTGCTGCTTTAGTTGTGAAGCGGAGCGATCATGAGACGCATGTTTGGCACGCCATGCCGCACTCGTTTACAAACCCTGCCCTAGCCTTCCCTGAATATTTTATTTTTTATTGAAGCGTATTTAGTATGGGTGTGTTATTTTATTTTACATTTTGCAATGTAACAATGATTGAAAATCTGCTTCATATATTATTTTAGGTGCTAAATACAGATTATTCAACCTGTCTGCTCCAAAATGTGTCTCCTGGGGATTACGTGATTGAGGTAAAACTACAATGTTTTTAATTTATTTGTATATGAACAATGTAACCTTAGTCTGAGTTCTTATTACTAAATAATTATATAAGCTCTTTCAAGCAGGGTCCTCATCAATCTGTTCCTGTAACATTTTGTAATTGTCTCACATATTGTTGAATTTCCCCCTTTATACTATTGTAAATAAAGCGCTGCGGAATCAGTTAATGCTATATAAATGCCAATAATAATAATAATATATATCTGCATTTCAAAACAATACTGGATGATTTTATTGGCACCGCTTAGTGAGTATTGACCTGACTTTTATTCTGAGCATTGAGAATATTGCTGCGTGCATAAGAGGTTATGGAACTTTTTGGACATTGCACCATATAATAGGCTGTCCTACCAAACTCTTGCCTTTTAATACAAAAAAGAGAAAACAAAACACTTTTTGTTTCCTATTTGAATGTTTTTTTTCCCACTAAAGTGCAAGTTCGTCATTGAGGACAGGGCAGGAATTTGTTATGCAAAAAACAGCAAAACAGTAATAACACATAATTATTATTTTTTTTTTTTAAAGTTTATCAAACCTTTACACTGAAGCAATGTGACTACAAATTTGAATAATGCTTTGTTTTGTTTCTCTATGTAGCTTATAGACGATACAAACACGACGAGGAAATCCATGCAGTACACATTAAAACCAGGCAAGTAGCACTCGTCCCTTTAGAACACACAGAATATAGATATCCTCCCACACACATAATGTTTTAATCTGACACATAATGTGCACTGATTTACTTTTAACACTAGCTCTGCTTCATTATTGTCACTTTCCATGACAGGCCTGCTTTATTTTGGGGGTTTTTCTTTCACACAGGGAATTAGTCAAATGTACAGAAAGGGCAGATGGCGTTGGCAATGACTCTTTAAACTATTTAAAAATGAATATCGAAATAGCACTGTGAAAAATTAACACATTTTTAAGTAACTTTTTATGCATGCTTTTGCAATTAAAGTTATACCCATTTCTCCTTGAGATTACTGTCCCACTGTTCCTTTTACTATGCCCCCTCCCGTGAGATTCTTCCTACTTATACATAGACTGTATTCATTCCTCCATGGAATAAAGCTGTTCGCCCACAGACCTTGAAAACGTGCCCATTAACATTAATTTATTATCTTTGATCCTGATATTCATCCGATTCACTCTGTCCATTCACTGAGAATACACCCACTCAGCTTGACATTATTGCCATTCACCTAGAGCCACAGAGAATCTGCCCATTCACTCTATTACTGAGATAAAATTCCCCAGGATCTGTGTGAATCCTTGAGTGTTCTATGTAGGATAAACGTAACAAAATACATACTTCAGGGCTGTATTTGAACTGACAAAGTTTAGAAGTCTGTATTTTTCATAGGTGCCCTATATAACCCATAACCTTGGTAACCCTAATTTCCTGCCGGGTTTAGGATTAGCTACTGTTTGTGCCAAGTACTTTGGTTAAGAATAAAATCAATTGTGTAACATTTTTGCCTTATCTCTTACAGTTCATTCTCCTTGGGCCGGTCCGATAAGGGCTATTGCCATCACCGTTCCGTTGGTCATCATATCTGCCTTTGCCACACTGTTCACCGTAATGTGCAGGAAAAAACAACAAGGTACATTCCTGTAAAATGTAAAACAAGCCTATAATCCTTATTTGTATGTTGACTTGATAAATATTAATTTAAGGAGTGGGTCCTTTTTTATTTATTTATTTTTTATCAATTTCCTTTAACTTACCATATTTATCGGCGTATAACACGCACCGGCGTATAACACGCACCTCATTTTAAGAAAGAAATTTCAGGAAAAAAAACCTTAAATTTCAAATCAAGAACTTCTTACCCCCATTTCTTATTCCCCCCCCTCTTCTTTCCCCCCTCCCCCTCTATTTACCCCCTTCTTACCCACCTCCCCCTCTTCTTATTCCCCCCCCTCTTCTTACCCCCTCCCCTGTAGCGTGGCCGAGCTGCTCTGCTGTCCGCGGTGGCCGGCCGGAGTGATAGGAAGGTGCACGCTCAGTGTGCACCTTCCTGTCAGTCCGACCGGGTACAGGAAACAGAAACGCGCGGAACAGGAGTTTCTGTTTCCTGTACCCGGTCTATCACTCCGGCTGGCCACCGCGGACAGCAGAGCAGCTCGGCCACGCTACAGGAGAGGTGAGAACCAACTGCAGCCGCCTGACCGCTCTTGACAGAGCGCTCAGGCGGCTGCAGCATTTAAAGGGCCGGCGTATAACACACACCCATAATTTGCCCCCTATTTTCAGGGGAAAAAAGTGCGTGTTATACGCCGATAAATACGGTACTTTGTTGCAGAATTGTTTCGAGCTTAATGGTAATATGCAGAATTGCTTTTACTAACTTGCCTTGTTTTTCTAGAAAATATCTACTCCCACCTCGATGAAGAAAGCTCAGAATCTTCAACATACGCTGGAGCTCATCATGTTGAAAAACCAAGGCCGCGGCCAAGGGTCCTTATTTGTTATTCCAATAAAGATTGCCAAAAGCACATAAACGTGATTCAGTGCTTTGCCTACTTTCTGCAGGATTTCTGTGGATGTGAAGTAAGTTCCTATGGAAAGAAAACAATGTTCATTTCATCAATTTTTTTTTTTTTTTTTTAAATCAATCAGTCTGTGAATGATCTTAGTGTTTCTCTTTCCATCTACTTATTTGTCCATTATTGTAAATAAGAAAATCCTTTATGTAAATATATGTATACCTGGCTTAATAATGTTTACAAGATAGAATGGGCTTTACAGCTTCCTTTGAAATTTGTATGCATTCCATCGTATAATACCAGAGCGACCTCCAGTGGTATTTAATGGGTACTGCCTTTTGTTTTCTGCAAGCATAATTTGAACAGACAACAAAACAGCCTTTGCATGGGTTTATGGAAGCAAGCTCATAGCATTTGTCAGTAGGATTGCTATTGTTACTGGGCGTTAAATAACGTGCTTTTTGTATGTAATGTTGCTAGAATAGTACTTGAAAATCTGAAGGATCAGGAATTGTAAGGTATTAATCAAGGATAGTGGTCATGAAGATTTTTCGAATATCAGGAAATTTAGCATTCACTGTTGTTGTGTATGTCAGAATAACATATTGCCTTTGTATTGACGCTAAAGATTGGGTGACTGTTAATATTTAGGCACTATAAGGTTGGGAGCATACTTTCCAAATGTCCTGCATCTGGCAGGACAGACCCAATTTGGGACACCCATGTCTCACCACTCTGTGTCATCATAAGCTAGTTCTCGACAATACTTCTATATAATTCCATTACTAATTGCCCTTGCACTGTGTGAGCTTACTTCATGACATTTGTGTTGCCTAAAGCTTGCCACAAGATGGCACTCCCCATTTCTAACCTATGTAACATATATTGCGACACAGACCCCCACTCATATCAACTTTATACCTTCCAAGCTGGGAAATATGTGTCAATAGAATAGTGTTTTGAGTTGCTGTTATCTTTGTGGGGGGGGGGGGTTCCTGCATTATGAGGAAAAAACAAACTTGTATAGAGTTATGGGTAATCAAGGCTCTTAGTTTAAATTAATTAATGTAGTGACTACAGAAGATGAAGTGAAATGTATCTCCTATAAATTGATAGCAATGATAGCCTTCATTATGCCAGTTCATATTAAGTCCCATGTTATTCAATGATGGCTTACTTTTCAGTACGAGCAACAATGTCTCTTCTATCAGGCCATTTAGTGGAATTAAAATCATACCCAAGACGCAACATAAGCATCGAAGATCTTTTTCAAATTAATCTTTTCATTAATTTGTTAGATTTTTTTTTAACACATTTGTACTAGAGGATGAATTAACCCCCTCTCTTTCTGGCAGGTTTCTTTAGACTTGTGGGAGAACCTGAAGATTTGCAAAGAGGGACAGAAGGAGTGGCTAAAACAGAAGATCAAGGAGGTTCAGTATATCCTGATTGTCTGTTCCAAAGGGATGAAATATTTTGTGGAAAAGAAGAAGAAAAAGCATAAGGGGGTGAGCTTCGAGGCTGGCACAGGGGAGCTATTTGTAAGTGCCATGTCCATGATCTCTGAGAAACTGACCAAAGCCCAGGACTGTTCAGATGACCTTTCCAAATTCATCACTGTGTACTTTGATTACTCCAATGAAAATGACATCCTCGGCATCCTTGAGCCTACAAAGAAATATAAACTAATGGACCACCTTCCACAACTATACTATCACTTGTACTCCAAGGAGTTGGCAAACCATGATCCGGATCAGTACCCAACGAACATCAGCAAAAGAAACTACTTCCGCAGCAAATCCGGACGTGCTCTATACGTTGCGATCTGCAACATGCACCAGTATATAGATCAAGAACCCGACTGGTTTGAGAAACAATACGTTCCTTCCCATCCCCAGACTCTTCACCACCACGAACCAGTTATGGAAAAATTTGACTCTGGATTGGTTCTTAATGATGTAACTGGGAAACCTGTAGCAGAAAACGATATTTCTGTGAAAGCAGACATCGTGGTGCCTGGGAACATTCAAGCTGCTCAGAATAAGACTGTTGCTGATGCAGAAGATACCGAAATTCAGGATTCACTTGCTGGTAACTGCGTCTTTCACCCAGTATTACACTCCGTCAAAGTCGTCAACCAGGCTGACATGCCTAGGGATTCTGGAATTTATGACTCTTCGGTTCCTTCCTCTGAACTGTCATTACCTTTAATGGATGGACTATCCACGGACCATGTAGAAACGTCTTCTATTGCAGAAAGCGTTTCTTCGTCATCAGGATTAGGTATTGTATATTCCCAGAAAATTGTAGGCACATTTTCCTCCTCTTAGCTTTTGTTTTCCTCCACACCTGTTTAATTTAATGTATTACACACTTTTTTTGTACTGGTGTTCTAGTGGGCAAAAAGTGGAGAGCTGTACTACATCCTGGTTTTACAGCATTTTTAAATCATCTGCATTCAAGATCTCCATATATTCTAAAGAATGCCTAAGATATGCACTCGTGCTTTAGTAAATAAACTGCTTTAACATTTATTTGTTTAACAGAAAATGGTCACTGATTTATGTTTCTGTGTTTGCTTTACAGGAGAAGAGGAGCCCTCTATCCCTAAATCAGTGGTGTATGGAGTGTGTAAAGCAGAGCTTCACTGCCACAACCACCCCGATGAGCTGCCAGCAATCGCACCTTTGTAGCCTAGTCCTGTGGTTAACCTTTTATCTGCCAGAAGGACCTGCCAAACCAGCCCTCCCCATGGCAGTGAATGTGTTAATATGCATTGCCACTTTAAGAGACAGGTCCTGACCATACTTGAAAACAAAAACCCTTGTTGAAAAGCTTGGGACCGTTTGATAAACTAGCAAAATCAGCTTCTGGACTTTTAGATTGCCAATCTTGTTACAACACATTATTCATGAAAGATAATAGTTCCTATTGTCTAGGACCCCTATAATATGCACATTTATAACAAAACCGTTCTGCTATGGATGATGCTCCTCCACAGTTTAGACTTGTTCAGCCAATATATTCCCTGACAAATCGCCTGACTGCCCATGGAAGGATTCAATTGTGAAAGTGAGGCATTTGTTAGGCTTTGTCCCTAAAATGGATAGGTGCAGTGCACTTTGAACCAACGGGAGTATTTCGACAGAATCACCCGAGATTCCGGAAGACTCAAACGCATGTCCATACCATATAATTGTTCCATTTTAGTCAAGTATCTTCTAATTCTGTACCACTGTGGCAAATGTAGTCCCAGACAAGAATGACTGTTATATAATACAAAGTACTATAATTAATAATGCAGCAGAACAAAACACAGATTTATTACATCATTTTATTTTATCTGGTGAAATTTGCATTCGTTAATAGAGCATTACATGTTGTCTACTTGTTGTGTTACCGTTTTTAAGATAATACTAACTTTACCTGTGTAGAGTTTCTGCACTATTTTATTGCTCAGTGTAGATTTATTCATCAACATTTGTATTTCAATCCCCTACGCTCTCGCCTCCCTCACTTGGTGTCTGTTACTTTCATCTGTAATGAGATTGTCCTCCTCATTTGCATTTGCTCTCCCACAATCTCTCCTACAAACTATACCACTGGAGCTATTTTTCACTCCTACAGTCAATTTCTTACCCTGTTCCCTAATAGCCATTTGTCATCCAGTACCAATATTTCCACCCTCCCCAACACATGCTCTTGTTACCCCAAGCCACTTCCCTTTCGTAATATAGACACATTCCATTCCTTATTTTATCAGTATCATGTCAAGTGTTCTTATTAGCCACTGTAGATTGCGCCCACCCAGTATTAACATCCTCTTCCTCTCACGCCACATTAAATATCACCATAACCTGAACTGCATTAAATTACCTCCATTCCACAGTCACATTAAATTAATTCTCACCTATAGCCACTACACAGAGCTAAATCCTGTCACTTCTTAACCCCCAATGGTACTATTTCCCAGAAGACACAACTGTGCATGTTCCAACAGCCGACACTACTCCCCTTTTGTGTGAGGCCTACTGAGTGTCAGTACAATAGTATTCGCATCAGTAGGAGTCTGCCACAAATCTTCCAAACATTTGATGTAAACAACTTTTTTTGAAAATGTTAATTATTGTTCATTTTAGATTTCTGACACAAGATGTTTACTTCCCAGTAGGAGACTGCTTCACTTGTGTTTTTGTAATAATATGTTTGTTAGACTGAAGTCTGTTAAAAGAGCTTAAATTATTCAGTTCTATCTTTTTGGTTAAATTGTTAGCACAACATGTAGAAAATATTGTGTGTTTAATGAGTGCAAAATTTCACGGTTCCATTCAGAATATTTTATTGCTAAAAATCAGCCTTTATTTAGAGTCTCAGAATATTGCAATAATCGCGATTATACCATGGTACTAGATCACACAAATTACAAAAAAATGCATGTTATGCATGGTACTAGAGCTACAAATAACTTTTTTATTTTATTTTTTTTAAACTTGGTCACACAAGCTCTGTATATTTGAAATTGAAGTACGGAATGCTGGGACATTCGATGATTGTTTAAGGATAATTGTGCTTGCCATTACAGTATCAGAAATTTCAAGTAACACTAAGAATACTAATGCTGCCCTCTAGTGTTCAGGTTGAGCAGTACAGGGAATAGAACATAGTGAAGACGCTGGACCGAATGCCACATTTAGTTTGCTATAGTGCCTTATTTAAGGATCACCAGACCTTGCAATTAGTTTTACAACCTTGGCCTTGTGCCTTTTTTAATGGAATAGTTGTGGCAAGCAGGAAACATAAGAACAATGCAATGTTCTAAAGACGTTAATGGGTCTCTGTGGCTTAAGCAGTGTTTACAGGGCTAAGGCAAAACATTAAACAAATCTAAACAGTCTTTTGTGCAGTTTAGAAAGTAAAATGTATAGATCAAGAAAGGTTTTCGGCAGTGACTCCTGCTACTTCTGGCACACTTCTCTGCTTCTCCATATGGAACTGGTCCATTGGCATACAGTGACAGATATCACAATTAATATTATGATATCACAATTAAAATATTTTCCAGTGCATATGTTTGGTGTAGCTCACCCAACATTTGAAGGAAGTGATTAGCCACCAGCTCTTGAACATGTGATCATGAATAGAGAAGTGCAACAGGAAAATTCTATGTGCCGGTATTTAAAATATAAAATCAAATACACATATTATTATTTGGAATACTATAAGTATTAAAAAAGTGTTTTTTTTTTTTTTTTTAAAAAGCCAACTCACATGGAACATATATGCACAGAACTGTTTTGGTACATAAAACAAATGAATATTATTTTTATAATTATGTAACAGTCCAAAAAAAGAGCAAGCAAACCCTGCTTTAAAAATTGGTGCAAAAGTGTCATCCGTTTTCTGGTATTTTATATGTATATATAATTTTTTTTTTTTTTTACAATTTTGTAAATATTGTAGCAATTTGAAAAGCTGTAGCAAGTTTTCTCTTTTTTTAATATACAGTTATTATATAAATTAGGTTGTATTTGAATGATGCAACAATGTACTGTTTTATGGTACCTTTTTATTGTACAATAAATCTTTTTTTCTTAATCTTTTTTTATTTTGTTTATTTTAATTGATATTTAATGACTTCCCAAGTTCAACACACATGCGTGGGCACAAATATTAATACAGTCTAATGGAGCATCCCCACTCAGGTGCCAGCCAGTGTCTGCTCCATTGTGGTGGGGACGTTTTCATAGGGCCAATGGGGATATTATGTCATAACCTTGGATCTCTCCCCGCTTCCCACACAATACAGAAAGAACTAAGAACTAGGTCAGTGCACATAGACCAGCTTCCAAATGCCGCTACCCCAGTAGACCACTTGGTTGGGCAGAGGTGGAGGTTTGGTTCTCGGCATGAGGGGGTGAAAAGGGGATTATAAAGGTGGTTTGCTGGGGGGATTGGTAATGTGATTGGGTGAGGAAATATTTGTTTGGGTTTCTGTGGTTATTTGAATTGAGGGGATTATGAGAAGATATAGAGATGGTGAATGATATTCTAGTGTTGAGATTGTGACTTCATGAAGAGTTTAAAGGGATAAACAAAGGATTATGGTGATGAAGAAATGTGATTTTAAGAAATTGGTGGTGGGGGGCGGGGCCTGACCGCCGAGCTGGATGGACGTGGGGTACCTCGGCTCCTCCATGAAACCTTAATACCAAACTCTAAAATACTCTACCCCCCTGAAAAAACCATACAGCTGCAACTAGAAAGCAAAGGGCACCCGAGCACAACTCTTGGTGTACATACTGACCCCCGTCCTACCGGCGATGCAGACTACTGGGCAGCTGGGATTGTGGTCTGTTGTGAGGCTCTGGTGGGAGATGCGGCCGGTCTCCCGTGCTTAGTCCGGCGGGACCTCTCACACGCCTACCGAGGGCCCCGTTCTCCCCCCCGTGGGCCGGAGGGGTTATCCTGGAACCCACCAGGGAAGCAGTGACCACCCATGATGCTTGAGCGGCGAACCGATCAACCAGAGACCGCATGGCGAAATCCAAGATGGCCGCCGCGTTCATCACTAGCTGGAGAATAGAGGCAGCAGCAATGGAGAAACTGCTGGGGACGGTTTGGAAACCGAATCGGTCCAGAACACAATGCACGGGCAGCCGCCCACCAGATGACTCTAAGGAGGGACAATCCGCATGTAAACACAGCTCAAGCCTGCACTATCTAGGGCAACATTTCACATGGTAACCGGCAGATCTGTGGGGACTCACTTGGGACTATAACCCTGAATGAGCACAGAAGTGCAACCGACACAAGCTCTCTCTATATACCTGAGGCTGCCTCTTATACCTGAGTATACTATTTTAGTATTTATTCATACTGTCATGTCTAGAATTATTACAGTTGATCCTATTCTGCAGACCCACGTGCAAACCATCAAATATGATTAAGCCTACCTGTCTGTTTATCCAGCTAACCCAGAGACTCGCTGCCCCCTGGTGGTTAAATTTAAATCTAAGCAGTGAAGAAATTCACATCATCTACCATGTTTAGACTTACTATGAAGATACCTGTTAACCAAGATATTATCAAAAAATGTGCATGTTTACTCCTTTACCTCAAATGTTATGCTTGAAAAGTTACTAGAGGACTGCCGTTAGGGTACCTCGAGCCAAAATGCACTCACTTCTATGCACTGCAAAAATAAAAAATAAAAAAAAAATTTTTTAAGAAATTGGTGGTGATGAAGGGGATACTGAAATGATGATGAGGTGTTGATCAGGAAAGATTGTGGGAAGTAAGGCTCTTGGGATATTGAGGATTGAAGGGATGGGGTAAGGTGACGATTGAGGTATCTGTGAGGATGGAAGGGTTTGGGTAGATGGAATGGTTGAGGGGATGGGGATTATAAAGAAATTAAGAGTAATGCAACTATAATGGTCAGACAAGGAAACGAGGAGAAAAAAAAGTCTTTGCAATCAATGGATAATGTGGCTTCCTAAATATAGAACCACCTCTGTAATCAGAATATTTTTTTCTTATTATTTCTTTGATCTGTAGGATGTCATCAACTATGCAATGTGTACTGTAATCAGTGATGCCATATATTGTCATGCAAAGCACTCTAGGTGAGGACAGTTTACGTTTGGAATTTCGTTGCGTTTTAACGATTGATTGAGAAGTTCAGTTCTGGGCATTATTTAAAGGGACACTCCACTGCCCAAATACAAAACAAAAATCACTGTTTAATAGATATACCCCAAATGAAAACTTGCATGCATTAAATTATGCACGTTTTTCATTGGGGATATATCTAAAACCAGCTTGCAAAACCTGCAGTTCTCTTGTCTGCTGCCTTTGCAAGCCCTCCTCTTCTAACCCCGCCCAGACTTTCTGTGGCTGTCCAATCACAGACTTCCCAATACAGCCCAATGAGAATTTCTTGTAAGTCAGGTGATCTGGGAAATTGCTGCCTCTTGAGGTCAACTATTTTGAGCTAACGAAACCAGGAAGTAACATTCCCTGTTGTCTGTTGAAAGCCAGGGGTGTGTAACCAGTATTGTTTATAAACAAGTCTTTCTATTTCTTTTTGCAAAATGGAAAAAAGAGGACATACTCTCCACACACACAGCTTTTCAGCAAGCTAAAGTTGCTTAGGAATCTGGAATATACCTTTAAGTTCATTGCTAACTGATGATTGCCAAACTGGCGCAGCTGTGTAGATTTATCAGCTTTATCAGTGGAAGCAGGTGCTGTGATGTCATATGGTGGCATCCAAATCCTGTGCTGTCGCCAAGGGGGAGCAGGAAGTAAGATTCTGCTGATCAGTACTAGAGATGTCGTGAACCGTCCGCGAACTTCTCGCGAGCGGTTCGCCGCGAACTCCGGTCAGCGGACACATCCCGGCCAATCTCCAGCAGACCCTCCCTCTGAGACCCTCCCACCTCCTGGACAGCATCCATGTTGAAGCTGCCCAGAAGTTCGCGGACGGTTCGCGACATCTCTAATCAGTACACCACTGCTTCTAGAACACCGGTCAACAGGGAATGTGAGAACATAATGATGCCTTCAAGTAAGCCGGAGTGTGTGCTAGTATGAGTGTTACTATGCGTCTATAGATGTGTATTAATGTGTGCCTGTGTGTTGGTCTGTTTATGTATTAATGTATCTATAATTTTCAATTCTCTTGGCAATTCTGCACTTGCCAACTTACAGGGTAATGGTCGGTAATACAAAGTTGATTTTAAATTAAAGACTAAAATAGCCAAGCTGGAAACATTCTGCAAGTGAACTATGTTTCCAGCTCATTTGCTTTGGCCTTACATCCAAAATTCACTGTAAATTCACTTTGAATTCCTGGCAATTATAACTTAAGTGAATAATAATTTATTTAGTATAAACCCTAAATACTTCAGCATGGTATATTATGTAGAAAATTCCAGCTTCATGCACTAGGGGGTGTGTTATATTATATCCAAATAGCCTTTCCCCAGCTGATGCTATTAGATGGGATCTATTTCAATTCTCTCCATTTTAAAGTTCTAAAATAATTTGATCCACTCCTTTCCAGAGCTCATGGTCAATATTTTTGCTAGTTAAATTTACTTTCTGAGTCTGCATGTTGCAAGGAGGATTTATTACATTCAAACAAGGCAGGGTATGCCAGCAATTTGGAAATAGACTGTACTGAGAGGCTGAGGTGTGGTGTTTTGTGTGTTGGTGAAGAAACCATTGACCTCTTGGCAATTAAATAACTTTTGATGATAGGGTATATTACATTCAGATTATAGGGAACAGTAATTATTTTTTTATATATAAGGTGGGGATCTTAATTGAGGTACATTTAGAACTTTTATTTGCTTAATATTTGTGCCCAGTTGAATAAGCTGTTTTGAGGGGAAGGTAGTGTTGTGTACTGAAAAATGGTGCAAAGATCTAATTGTGAGGCCATCACTGTTGGAATCAATGGAACAAGCAGGCACGTTTGATTTATAAAGGTTGCTACACCAATATTTGCACCATTAAATTAGATTAACAGTAGAAGGACCCAGACAAATTTAAGAATAAAATGTACACTTGAGCAAAAAAAAAAAGAAATTGCCTTTTTTGTTAGCGGTTCTGTTAAGAGTTAAATTTATATAAAATGCACATTTCAAGGAATCTGGTCAAGACTCCAAATATTCTGTGAAAAAGAGAAACTGGGGAGTGGGATTAGTGGTGTTGCTGTAAAGACAAAATGCAGAGCACATAAAAGCACAGTTTCACATCTTACTTGTAATCATGTCTTTAGAATCTCTCCCATCAGTTTTTTTGCTAATGTCCAACATAGCTAAAGTACTTCCACTCAACGTGCCTCATGCTATCTTGTCTTCTCCCCAGGCATTATACACCTTCGATTGGCTATTTAACCTACCTAGGTGTTATTACACCTAAACTCTTTAATTCAGGGGCTCCATAAAGGTTCACTTGCTAAGCTGCGGACCTTACTAACAAAGTGGACGGCACATGAAATACCATGGGTTGGTCGCGTTTACTCCATTAAAATGTGTATTCGTCTGTTGATTCTGTACGTTTTCTACATTCTGCCAATCAAGCTTCCAAGACAGCACTTTAAACGCATACTAGACTCGCATATGTGGAAAAAACGACCACCTTATTTAGCAATGGGTACCCCCAGCAGACTGCCTAGCCAGAGTGGATGGGAGGTCCCAGACCTAGCATCCCCCAGCATCTATACTAGCCCAAACAATGGCGACGCTACACACTGAGGAAACTGAAGCGCTCCAATCCATGAGAATGTATGAAGAAAAGACCCATAGAACGCAGGGCACCTTAACAAGTTTTGGTCCAGTTGGGATAACTGCTTCCACAATCAGACCGTCTAGACCAGGCTTCCCCCAAACTCCGGCCGTCCAGATGTTGCTGAACTACAACTCCCATGATTCTCAGCCTATCTATTTCATTCATAGAGTCATGGGAGTTGTA